TTCACTTCTAATCACCTATTTTAATCTTCGTTATCAATCTTAATTTGAGTTACTAGTCTTAATCATAATTATTATTATTAACATTATTTATCTACTCTAGTCTCCATTATTAATCATAATCCTAATTATTAGAATCTAATCTTAATTATTAAATCTAATCTCTATTATTAACTCTAATATCTATTATTAATCATAATCTTCATTATTAGAGTCTAATCCTAATTATTTATCTTAATCATAATTATTAACTCTAATCTCAATTATTAATCCTAATATTGATTATTAGTTCTAAGAGTAATCATTAGTCCTAATCTTAATTATAAAATTTAATTAATTATAATCAATCATTGATCATAAGTCTGACTTAGATTAAGGTAAGGTATTGATTTGAGTAAGGAAGAATCAATACTTGCTTGGAAGGCCTTTATTATTAGGACTACAAACGCCAATAACTAATAAAAACTAAAAATTAATTAATAAATAAATTACTAACTAAATAAAAAAAATCCTTTGTGAGGCATTTAATCTCATAGTGGAGGTTTTCGGCTCACAATAGACAAACAAGCAATGATTTTGTAGAACTAGTTTATGAGAGTCGATTGAACGGGTTTTATTTCAGGCACAAGAACTGTAGCAACCTTGTACTCATGGAAGATGGTGCTCTTATGCATCGAAGTAGCCAACCAAGGCTTTGGAGAGAAGTGCATCAAATGAGAATGCTCAATTGGCCTGCAAATTCACCGGATTTGAACATCATTGAAAACCTTTGGAAGATGGTAAAAGACTTCATACAAAAATAAGTCCTACCAAAGAATAAAGAAGAAATGGTCAAAACCATTCAATGGGCATGGGAAAGTGTGAGTCAAGAGATTATAAACACTCTCATTTTTAGCATGCCTTTCCAAATGATGGCAGTTATGAATGCTTGAGGCAACCACACTAAGTGGTAGCTAGTTTGTTAATAAAATATCTATTGTTGTGTGATTTTACGATTTTGTCAAGAAATTCTTTGTAGACATGAAAGTAGACTCTATTACCTTTCCAATGTACTTTATGATTTTGGATTTAGAGCTTTTTTGAGATAGTAGTCACATTTTGAATTTGTAGTTTTCTCACAGTTTAGCAGTTTTTTCTCTCTGTACGTAACTTTACTGAAGGGGACTGTACAATGGATATCATGCTGCAGTATATAGTAATTGCAAACATGATCATGCACATACCATAATATTCAATCTACACATTTGCACGTCTTCTAGTATAATTGTTAAATAAGGTCAATAACACAAAAATCTTAACCAGTACCTTAGGCCTTGAGTTGTACAGTTGTTGTTCCTTTGATTTCACAGTGAAATAAAACCATTTCACTTTTGTTGGAAAAATTAACTAAATAAACAAAATCCAATAAAAGGATATTTTGCCTCCATTCAAGTATTACTTCATTTTACTTATGAACACAAATGCCAATTTACCCAAGATTTTCTCTAGTTCAAAGAAACAGTTACAATAATCACAGCATCAAATTGTTGCACCTTGTTCGTAAGATGGCATGTATTTGCATGCTGTCACCTCTGCTCCCAAATCTGAGGATCACCAGGACTGGAATCACCAGTACACTCACAGGTTATTGGTGCTAAAGTGAAGCTAAAACAAGTTTCACTTTGAGTTTAGAGACCACCAAGCTTGTTCACACTTAATAAAAATAGACTACCTAGATCCTCATTTTAATATTACTATATTTTATTCTTAATAGCTATTCGAGATGAAAAAGACAAGATATCTTTGAATAACAAAAGGTGACTTTCACAAAAATTATAATCTTTTTAAGTAAAATGTGTGTAGGTTGCTATTTATGCTCATACACTACAATAATCACCAACCAGAACATGCCTTTGAATTGAATAGGCAAAGAAGTCCAAAAATAATTGGGAGCAGTAACAAGGTCTCTTGGGCAAATGTCAGTTTGGTTACTGATGAGCGACGTGGGTGGGTTTGGGGCTGTCGTCCGATGACCGTGTTAGCACTGGTTGTATATCATTTCCTATGAATTAACTTTGGTTTTTTTTCTCCTTAAAAAAATAAAACAAAAAAATCAACAAGATTCCATTTGCTTCACTTCCCACTATAAGTCAGAATTTATTAAAATAATCCATTCACTACATTCACGGGTCCAATTAAGGACTAAATTGTGTCAAAGTGCACCATAATAGTAACTTATATCACTTCATAAATCTCCTAAAACAGTGTGCTTGGGATTGCAATTTTTCACCACATAAAGTTTGTTCAATTTTAATAACCCTGTACATTGTTTATGGTACTTTTGTAGGGTTGGTTCACAATGCCCAGTCACATTTTGAGCCTCCTACCTTAGTTGTGTGTCTATGTAATTGGAGTGATGAAGTTGAAGTCAATATTGGAATGCATGATGTGTGTAAGCTGTAACCAGTATTGGTGTGTAGAATTCAAACTAATTGGAGGTTGTGTTGGAGGTTTGGGTGGAGAGTAGATTGTACTGTACTGAACAGTAGGCCAATTGGGTAACATGTGAAGTGAAATAATATCAATGTCCAATTCTATCCAATTGGTTGAGATCCATACAAGACATTTGAAAACATGGTGAACATTAATGACTATTTGCCAATATTGACTTACATGAATCAATATTGGCCATTATTGCATATATTTCATTTTGTGTTTGAAAATTTTTAGTGTTTAATCAAATTCTTTATGAATTTGATTATTTATATTGAAATGATGTGATGGGTTTCTTATTTGACCTTATTAATGTAACAATGTTGATTAGTGAAAGCATTCCATCTACCACTTTCATGAATTTGTATTATAAAATAATCAATGCTCCATCAAGTTGGTTTGTTATACTATTTTAGAATCAACAATGCCTAATTAGATCCATGTTGATCTGCTTTTATAAAAAGCCTCATTACTCACATCATCCTTGTAAAACTACCAATTATTTAGAGATTTTGGTTGACTTATTTCTTTTCAAATTTTCATGTAAAACAAACACATCTTCATTATAAAATAGATAAGAAAGCCACCACCTTACAAGCAGATAGTTAAACTTTTTTGAATGAAATTAAACCTCATGATTATTATTATCATTTGTGCTTTAGAATGGTGAAACACTACTATCAATAATATGTTTTAATCTTTATTTTATTCTCACATTTTTGTTATATTATGATTTTGTACAATTTGAACTATTTTTAGGCATGCTAGCTATGGTGCTTTAGTAGCACTAGCAAAAAGATGGTATGAATCAATCTTATGCTATTAGACTTAGATTTAGTGCAAGGATCACATGTTAATTCTCATACTTTTTGTAGTAACAAATGGCATTACACTGAATTATCAAAATTAGTGCTCCTCATGCTTGTTCCATTCCAAAATTACTATGAGTTTTTATTATTAGTGCAACTCACACTAAATATGATAATTTGTGTAGTGGTGGTTTATGTCAAGTGTACACTGTAAACTATCATTAGCTGGTGTACTTGCTGGTAGTCTCATACCATCTTTCCACTAGTGTTGGACATGGATTTAAGTAAATTGGACTTTTTGTAAAATCCCCATGGGTACATATTAGACAATTCAGGATTTTAGGAGCAGTGCATATGTCAAAACCAAGCATAGTTGAATGCATGGACAAGGTGTTGATATCCACTGTTTTGTGAAGGAGAATGATGTTGCTGAAAGGCTGAGAAAAATGATGTCGCTGAGCAGTAAGGGCATGGGATTCAATGTCCCAGTCATCACCACTGAGTAAGTTAGTACCATGCGAGCCTGGTATGGAAGTGATTGGAACAAAGCAGTCTTAACATTGATTATCAGTTGTACTTGAGTCCAAAGTGAGATAAGTTAGTGAGGGAGCATATTAGAAAAAGGGAGTAGAAAGACAAGGGCTCAACGAAAAACTGTGGAATCCATTGAACCATCCACCTTGCCTCCTTGTGTTCAACTTTAGCATAGAAATTGGATCATGGGAACAATTCAATTATTCTGAGGTTTGCCACTATTACTGAGGAGGTGGTTTATGCAGTTGATGAATGTTAAGTGGCATGTGGCATGGATGATTTTCTGACTCAGGTCACAAGTTGTGGATTTCTAGCATGGTGGCTGTAAAGTTATTTGTAAAGTCAAGCAAAGGGATTCAAGGGTACTTTGGAATAAGAAACAGGTCTAGCTGAATTGTACAACTCCTCCCAATTTTGAAGTGGGGATTTTGAAGTGGTTGTCACTGTGGAATGGAATCTAAGTAAGTTATCATCTATGTGTCTGGTCATGTGTCGAAGTTGTGTAAATACTCATTAAGGAAACTAAAATCGTTTATCGGCTCTGTCCTCTTAGGCGAGGTCTAAGTAACAATCTCTTTGATGCAAAATGTTCTCACTTTAGTTCTGGCATGCTTGTCCTTCAGGTGCTTGATTACCAGAATTCATCTTCCTGATTTTAGGAGTGTAATTAACTGACTGTAGCACTACAGACACTATAGAAAAATGCACTACAGGCACTGCTATGCCTTACAATGTTTTAATTGGATGTGATAATATGTCATTTCCAAGAAAACTCATCGGCAGATGCTGACCATGCTGGGAGCTCTTCCCAAACTGTTCTCTTTTCAAACTGCACACCATGTCAAGCCTTGATGTATCACTTTCATTTGAGTATTTTCTATCCTTCATTTTCGATGGTATGTGAAGCTGCTTGAATGCCAATGCTGGAAACCAATGCATGAGAAGTATTTCTCTATTATAATAGTGACCTCACAATTTCTTCTCTCCTGGTTGTGTTGTATCCATAGTTGCAATGAAACGTACAGAAACACGTTTCGAAACAAACAGAAACGTTCGTTTCTTTCTACGTTTCGAAACGGGAGTTTGCATGTCCTACAGCTATGCTACATGTGTCTACCATGCAGATGAGCTTCACTATTCCATAGCTGCTCCACTACTGCTTTGGTTGTGCATTTGATGGGTATTCGCTGTAGTTTAGGTGCTCGTTGCAATATCTTGGATGGTCACTGCAACACTCTGTGGTTGTGGTTGTCGTTCTCTACAACACTCTTGTTGATCAATATGGTTACTCCTTCATAAAGAGCTAGTTCGTTTGAAGGAACCTGTGAACTCTGATAGTCCGTACCGTCATATTCCTCAAGATAGTTGGAGCTTCTAACTGAACAATTTGGTGTTGGATTCTTAAGCAGGAGCCAGATTCTTTAGCAGTATATTTACGGACCTCTTTATGTCGCTTGTGCAACATTGGTTCTAGATCAGGTACTACCACCTTGTATTTGTACTATTTATGCATGCACTTGTTGCTAGCTAGAAGAACTTCTTATTGAATCTTGTATCCTCCCTCAAGGTAGTTGGAGCTTTAAGTCAAACATCTCGGTGTTGGATTTTGGAGCAGAGTGTTTGCAGATCTCTGAAGATCACTTCCGCAATGTTTGTTCTTCATTAGGTATTGTCACCTTCTATTTCAATTATTCATGCATGCTTTTGTAGAACTTCTTATTGTGTGGTTAGATATAGCACTCCAACTGTGTGGTGCTCTACCAAAACATTTCAGAATGTTGATGTGATTTTTTTGAGGTTTTCTATCTCACTACACACTGGAATTGACAAATAGGAGCATCTTGCATAAATTGTATTAACTTACATAGATTTCTACTCCTAATTTTTACTGTAGTTATGTTCACTTGAACACAATTTATGCATGACTCCAATGCTTGTGATGTGCACTGTGGTTATGTTCGCTTGAACACAATTTATACATGACTCTCCCAATTACATGTAGAATGTTTTTGAAACATGTAAGGCTAGGGTTTCGTTTGTTTTGAAAGTGTTGTACCAAGCTTGGTTTGTTTTGTGCATTGATAAGCTAGGTGTGTTTTGTACATTGAGGAGCTGGCATGACTGGAAGAGAGGAGCACTTAGCAAAGTATTACAAGATCATTGATGGTGTAAAACAAAGTTCAGGTTAGTAAATTTTGTCTATGACAAAGTGAAGACAACTAGTTTTTGTTCATTTCATTGAAGTCATTCCTGAAGTAAATCAAAGATATGACTTCTTATCTCATGTTAAATGACTAAAATCATCCTTAGATTACTCTAAACACCTTTTATCTTCTTAAAGCAAAAAAATCCATCTATGATAGTACATCATTAAGTCTAGGGCTTTGCAATTGAAATGGAATGATATGTAATTTAAACTGAATGACATGTATGTAATGTAGGGGTTTTAGCTATATTCTAGATATGTAAAATGGGACGACAACGAGATAGAGCATGGGAATATGTGACAGAGATAGTAGGTTATGATGGGGCTAGAATAAAACGATGGCGTTGCAACTTCTGCTCAAGGGAGCTTAGTAGAAATCCTGCAAGAATTAAGCATCATTTGGGTAAAGTATCAAGTCAAGGTGTGGCACCATGCACTGATGTACCTTCTGAAATTCAAGCTATGTATTTCCATGAACTCTCTTCTCAAGCCAGGGGTATTAGTGTTGGCAATGTTTCCATTCCATCTGTTTCTTGTAATCTAGGGCATTTTGCACAACATGAATCCTTGGAACCAGAGTCTTTTCATCCAACTTTGAATTTGCATCCTGAATCTTCTCAACCAAGTTCCTCTCAACCACAATGTTCATTATTATGCACTTCACAGTTGAGAGTTGCAGTTGGGAGAAGATCATTATTGCAAGAAGCAACATTGAGCATCTGGAAGTGTTTTTATAAATGTAATATACCATTTCATGTTGTGGATACTTCTGCATGGAAGAATATGATGTCTACAGTTATTCAATTGGAGGAGAGAAATTTCCATGGACCTAGTTGTGAAAGTTTACGAACATCACATTTAAATGAGGAATTTCAATCTGTAATACACAGTTTGGGGCCGATTAAATCTTCTTGGCGAAGATATGGATGCAGTATTTTTGCTGATGGATGGACTGACATCAAGAGACGACCTATTATCAACATTTTGGTATCTTCTTGCCAAGGTACAATCTTCTTGGACGCAATCGATGCTTCTGAATTATTGGGCCAACAATTGAGTGGAAGCTATATTTATGGGCATATAAAAAATGCAATTGAATATGTGGGTGCCAACAATATTGTTCAAGTGATTACAGACAATCAATCTAATTGCAGAAGCATGGATAAACAACTAATATCAGATTACCCTCATATCCAATGGATCCCCTGTGCAGCACATTGTTTAGATTTGATTGTCGAGGATATTGCAGGCCTAAGCTGGATGAAAGATTTCATAAAGAAGGCAAAGACTATTGTGAAGTTTGCTACAAGGAGATCAAAAGTATTGTCAATATTCAGATCTTTTAGCAATCTTGAAATACTTCAATTCTCAGCAGCCAGGTTTGGCTACATGTTTTTGTTTCTACAACAGTTGTTAAGAGTTTATCTTGCCCTACAACAACTTGTAGTTTCAGATTGTTGGCATGTATGGAATGAATGTGGATCAGAAGAGGCCAATGAATTCAAAGCACTTATACTTCATGATGAAAATTTTTGGAGAGATGCTGAGAACATTATAATGGATTTTCAACCAATTTATACTATTTTGCGACTTGTTGATCATGAAGGATGCACCATGGATTTAATATATGCATTTATGTCCAAACTCGAAGATACATTACATGGGGCAACTAGATTGGATAGAAATAGGATTTGTGATGTGAAGCAGAAGTTGGCATCAAGATGGTCATGATTTCAACAACCTATCTACAAGGTGGCTTATATTTTGCATCCATTATGGAAGACTGATTTGGGAGAAATTTCAGTTGAGTTGCAGGAAGGTTGGGCTAACTATTTGAGAAAAATTTGTACTAATCTAGTGCAACAGAATTCATTGGAGGATGATCTTTTGAAGTTTTTACACAAATAAGGTCCATTTTCTAGAAGTGGATCTCTTCTAAGGGATGCTATGTTGAAACCTGTTACTTAGTGGGAGAAATATGGGAGGGAAGTACCAAATTTGCAACAAATTGCATTACGAGTGTTGTCACAGGATTGCAGTTCATCTGTCAATGAACGTAATTGGAGTACTTTTGGTTTGGTACAAATCAAGAAGCGCAGTAGGTTATCATTTGCACGAATGAAGAAACTTGTATTTATTCAGTCAAATTTGAGGATGTTGGAGCAATGGACTAGCATTGACGAGATACATGAATTAAATCCTGATTCCATTGACATTAACAAAGTCCCATCATTTCCATCACGATTGAAAATTGAAGATCCATATGAGTTCTTATTTGATGAAGGTCTCTCCTCATCTCGATGCTCTCAATGGAAAGAGGTTTCTAGGAGGTTTCTTAATGTGCTTGCTACAATGGATCATATTGAAGAGCATGATTCAGAAGAAAAGAGTAGTATATGGGAATCTGAGCATGAAGAAGCAAGTAGTGGTAGCACAAGTCCATCTAGCAACGGCCCTTTCAGGACATGTACATCTAATGTAATGAATGATAGTCAGCCTATTGACTATGAAGATACACATGCTTTTGATTGCAAAAAGCCTCGATTCAGCTCTGTGAGCTTCCTATATGAACAATGATGTAAGATTCTACTTAATAATAAAATCAAGCCTTTTGTGGAGAAGATTCTCGTTTGATTTTGTTTGATTCTATTTCGAAACTTTTTTGAAACAGTTTTGAAACTCGGTTTCGAAACGTTTTGAAATGGTTCTTGCAACTATGGTTGTATCCTTAATTTGTATCTTACTACTAAACTTAAGTGGAGAAGTCATACTTAAAGGTTTTGGGATGCAGAGTCTCAATGCTGCATGAGTGCGTTTTGGAGATGGCACTAGCCATATTGGAGGCATTATGAAATGAGTGTTTCTCTTCAGTCTGAACATTGCAATATTTCACTTCACATCAGGGTTGTTCATGGGACCTCCCCGTCCGAAGGACCGGGAGGTCCGCTCGTCCCGTGCTATAGGCTCAGGGGAGGTCTGTTATTGGTCAACTTAAGATTGACCGCCCAAATGGTTAAAGAGGATTTAGCTTGTCCACCTAGGATGCCACTCATCCAATATGTCATCCAAAATTCCGAGGAATATAGCTGACATGGAGGGGGCGACCGCCTGAGAGGGGGGGCGCGAGCGTTTGGGAGGGGGGGTGCGAGCGTCTTAGAAGAGGGGGCACGAGCGTCTGAGAGGGGAGGCGCGAGCATCTGAAAGGGGGTGCGCGAGCGTCTAGGAGGGGGGGCGCGAGCATCTGGGAGAAGGGGCGCGAGCATCTGGGAGAAGGGGCGCGAGCGTCTGGAAGGGGAGGCGCGAGCGTCTGGGAGGGGGGGCGCGAGCGTCTAAGAGAGAGGCGCGAGCGCCTGGGAGTGGGTGCAAGCATCTGGGAGGGAGGACGCGAGAGTTTGGAAGGAGCACAAGCATTTGGGAGAGGGGGCGCGAATACCTAGGAGAGGGGGGGGGCGCGAACGTCTGGGAGGGGCTATAAAACATAGTCTCCCGTCCACTCCCGTGTCTGCCCATTTGATAGAAAATATTGCAATTTTTCCACACGAATTTCACCAAAATTTACTATATTTAGTAAAAATTTCTCCGCCCCTAGAATCCCCCCGGGGAGACGTCAAGACAGTAATGGTTGATGGTAATAAGCACAAGAAACTTTACCATAAACTAAGGAAAAACCGGGTTGTCACATCAAAAGCTAATGTTACATAAAATAGACATCATGGCAAGCGGGTGAAACAATTATCCACCCTAGGTGTCAGAGCAAACACGTGTAGTTTCTTTCGTTTTGTTATCCTCGTATAATATATTGGTTTTACGTTCTAACTTTACTAGTGGAACCCCGTCGTCTCCTATGGGCCAATATATTGTATCACATAGAAATAAAAGTCTCAAAATAAAATCCTCAAAGTAAAAGCGCTTAATGAAACAAAAGAATGGCATGTGTGGTCACCTATAATAGTTCATATTCTAAAATAATTAACAAAACATAAGAATCAAATGTGTTGTTATTTTTTACACTTTACAATCTACAATAATAAACAACTTTTTATGTATTCAACAATGGTACCTATAATATTTGTAGATTGGGACAATTGTGAATTGGAACTTTTAATTTATTTTGGAGAAGTATCTTGAATTTTCAAAGAAATTGGAACACGCTCTATTTCTAATTCATTTTGTAGGAACTATACTAGAAAGGTTGGTTACTGTTAGATGACATTTAATGTTGTACCCAACAACATTAATTGTGTTTTTCTAGGTAGTTAGTGTTACATTTTGACCTAGACTTTGAAGTGTTATAACTGAAAACACTTGTAATTCTTTTCTTTCCTTATTCTTCTAGACTCTGGAAGTGTTCTAAATAACAACATCTATAATTCTTCTAAATTTTTTATTATTTTAGACTATGGGGTGTTATAAACCACAACATATGTAACTCAATCATTTGATTATTATGCAACTCTATAGTGTTATAAATAACAACATATGTAATTTTTCAAATCTGTTTAGCCCCTCCCAGACGTTCGCGCCCCCCCCCCCCCTCTCCTAGGTGTTCGCGCCCCCTCTCCCAAATGCTTGTGCTCCTTCCAAACTCTCGCGTCCTCCCTCCCAGATGCTTGCACCCACTCCCAGGCGCTCGCGCCTCTCTCCTAGACGCTCGCGCCCCTCTCTCAGACGCTCGCGCCCCCCCTTCCAGACGCTCGCGCCCTCTTGTATCTGTGGCGTTCCGAGTCATCCATGTCATCATAAAGTCGTCCATGTCATCATACCATTCTAACTTTTGGATAAATCATGAAAAAAATTACTGCAGTAATTTTTTCTCCTCCCCGCTATGTCCGATGTTTGGACGGGACCGCCCGGTCTGGTCGTCCGTCCGTCCGTCCGGTCCGCCAGATTTAGGCCATGTCCGTCCTTTTTGACAACCCTGCTTCACATCCTCTTGAGTCTTTAACAGTTCATATAACTACTTGTAAATTTTAAGCTATAAATTTGAAGCAACACTCATTCACAATCTGATCAGACTTATTTATTAGCATTTTAGTTATATTTGATTATTTGGTGACCTCAAAATGTGTCTTAATATGATCTACAAGAGTATGCATTTAATCATGATGTTTAACCCCTAAATTGCCAAGAATCCAGAGGTGGGCTTTTACGAATCTTGCACAAGTTTTTATGATTGTTATTATAGTTTCAGGTCTTGAAACTATGTATGAAGATGCAAAAAGGTGGGAGCAATGTAGGAATATAATTTTTTTTATTCTCATTTGACTTAGAGAATCAAAGTTATGCCATCTTAAAGAATAAAATGGCAAGGGGAGCTAGCTACAAAAAAGTTTTCCAGCCCTCCAATCGATCTAAGTTTTTATACAAGTAAACTAAATAATTTATTTGGAGTTCTCAAGAAAAATAACCTTCCATAATATAAAGATTTTACTCCAATGGGAGTCAAAGTTTTCTCACATTTTCAGGTAAGGTGCAAGGAAATAACTTTTTCATTTCCACATAAAAATTAGAGATCTTGATGTTTTTTACATTTAATTTTTCTACTTCAAGAAGAAGCATAAGACTTTTCTTTTCATTGTTTGGATTTCCAATCTATGAGGAAGTGAGTTAATTAAAATTGAAATATGGTCTTGCAATTTTGGACCTCATTTTCATTGTTTTTTTTTAAATGCTTCACTAATCTTCTACTTTTGAAAATGATGGACAAGGAATTAATATCATGCACAACATGATAGTATAAAATTCAAAACTTGTATGATGCGAAAATTTGACACCAAGTGAAGTCAAAATGTGGTGTTTCTCATAATGCAGGAATGAAAAAGTATCATTATTTTCACTTTCAACATTATGATCCCCCAACCCATGTAGTTAAGCACAACCAAATTTTTTGAACATGTTTATTAAGTAGTCCATTTCATTATCTTATGGTTAAAATTAGTGAAAGAAGTTTTCTCATTTTTAAAAGAATTACTGAACTTTCACAGACAATTTTGCATTGTTTTTGACATAACATAGGCAAGGAATTTTAGAGGTTAATTGCACTTGCAGGTTATGCAGTTGTGATTCTAGTAGCACTCACTTAAACAAGAATGTAACAAGTTCATGATTATTGAGTAGAACAAATTTGTCCCTGCATCTGCTTGCACCAACACATTGAACCCGGCATGGACAGGATACCTTGTATGTGAGCATAAATAGCGTCCTCAAGACCAGCCGAGTACAAAAAAAAAAAAAAAAAAAAAAAAAAAACGAAATACAAAAGGTTTAAACTATCAGTATATAATAAATAACGTATTTACTTATATATAAATATATTCTAAATATTGATTAGTGTACTTGTTAAATGGCATAAAATGTATTCACTAAATAAATAATAGGGCATGCATTGATTATTAATAGTCGCTAAATAATATTAGACTGTACTATATTCGTGCATGCTTCAAATGTCCAGCCCGTCGTTCGATGCAGTTGTAGGTGGTTGTAGTGTTCAGCTTGTCTGTCCTTCGTGTTGTAAAAGAGCTGTAGGAGCTAGCTTTAAACACATAGGCCACTCATTATGAACTTCAACTCCAGGGTTTATGTGTTTGCTCAACTACCAAATCATCACACCGATATGACGGCTTGATACCGCCCCGCCGCCAATTACGAGTGTCTAATCAAACTGACACATGTAACGCTCATATAATATATGCACCCCTAATCAAAGGATGCCCATGGTTGATATGTGCATTCACGTCTCCCGCGCTGTACACTCCCCGCGTCCTCTTCGCCCAATCCCACAACACGTTATCAGCACTTTCGTCTCTACTGAGTTCGAGTCCTTAGTTTTGATCATGCGCCTCTTTATAATTGCTCCGCACACACAGCACTTCACAATAATTCCAACACCGGAGTATGAGGCCCATCTTATAGCGATAGGGTTTTGTCAACTATAGAATACACACAATTGAACTCGTCGTGATGTCCAAAATAACGATGTCATCTCACGTCAGGGAACGAGAGACACGCATACAGCCGTTAATGTTAGATCTGCTCGAACCGGACGGAACCAACTTCCTCGAATGGCGACACGATGCATACACTTACCTCTGCGTGGAGGAGCTGGATGCGGCACTTTCGAGCGAGACAGTCGACGACTTGTGCCCCTCATATCGGTGGCAAGCACTGCTGATCATCAGAAGACATATCGATGCCTCCTTACGCCAACAGTACGTTCAAGTCGACGATGCAGTGGAACTCTGGAAGCTGCTCGACGCACGGTTCAAACACGAAGAGACCATCTTCTTGCCCCAGGCGTGGAGCGACTGGTTAAATCTGCGCATGCTGGACTTTTCGAACTTCGCATCCTTCAACGCCAAACTACATCGGATTTCAATCCAACTCAAGCTGTACGCACAGACAGTCACTGAAAGCATAATAATTAGGACTCTCTCTACCTTCCCTCCCGCATCTGCAATCCTAGCACAACAATATAGAAACATGAAATTCAAAAAGCATTCTGAACTTATGTCCTACTTGTTGTTAGCTGAGAAGCAGCACCAATTATTATTGAAAAATGCGGAGAGCCGACCCCCTAAGGAGGTGCATACCGTGGAAAAGGCGAAGGACGTCAAAACAAGCGCATCGCAGGAGAAGGCGCAGGAGAAGCAACATTCCCACGAGACTCACAGTATTAATGCGCCTCGGCGGAAACAGAAGGGGCAGAAAGGTAAGCCAACCTTGAGATCACCCAGGTATGACTCCAGGACGAGATTAGAGCGATCAGAGAAAGGGTCGTCATCTAGCAGATACAGTCACAAGAGTTTAGGCCCATGTCACAAGTGTGGGCGCCGAGGTCACTATGCACGAGAATGTAGGACCCCGAGTTTCTTTGTGGACTTATACAAAGAACTGCAGAAACTCAAGGCTGAGAAAAGGGAAGTCCACTCCCTCGACGCTCCGAATTTCACTGACCAGGATCTGGAGAATTTTATGGTGCAGTCATCACCACCCGCTAATGTGAAGTTAGCACTGCTCGATAGTGCATCAACTCACACTATCCTCCAGGATGAAAGCTATTTCCAGTTCAAGAACAAGAATAAGCCCTGGCAATCATGCGACATCGTAATGATTGCCGGGAGGAGGAATATCAAGTTTCGTGAGGGCCCCGCAGCAGTTATGATACCCGGCGGCCATACCCTCACATGCAGAAGAGCGATGTACGCTCCGAGCGCTCCACGGAGCCTCATCAGTTTTGGCGACTTACACGCGAATGGGATCCACATCACCACCGCGTTGGATGATGATGAAGAGACGTTGCAACTCCGGCGAACCTCGGGCCTAAGGGCTCCTCCGAAATGGGGGTACTCCTCTGCCCAGGGCGCCTCCATCTGCCCGAACAACGACCAGCGACCCCCACCTCGGGCCCCGTGCGGGCTCCACTCCACCTGTGCGGGCTCCACCCGTGCGGGATCCCCGGGTTTGAGCCTTGCGCTACAGCTCCCCCAAGGTTTGCCTCCCCGGGTATCGGGCACGGTGCACCTCCACAACTCCAGAGACTCCAGCACTCCAGCACTCTAGCACTCTGCTCTAGTACTTTAGTACACCACAACATTGTGGATTGTCAAGCATTTTTTGGGTAGTGAGAGTGAAGGTGAGGGGGGCATGATAGTGTATTGTAGTGTGTAGTGTAATGTAGCTTAATGTTGGTGCTAAGTAGTAAAGAGAGAGTTGAGGATCAGGGCTTACAAGTGAAGGTACTTCTAGTTCTACAAGAAGTTTGCAAACTTCTTTCAACATTAAAGCATTGATATTTAAAATCACATTGATCCCATTTTTAAATGTGCACAACATTATTATCTATTTTGATGTGATTTGATGACTAGGGTTTAAAGAAGTGGAGGAATGGGAGGTTTGGCCATCACCTATTTTAAATTCAAATTGTGTTTCTCAACATTGAAGGTATGATTCTTTAAACCATATTATTTGTTTTATATTAATGGATGTGCACATGAATGTGTTTTGTGTTTGAAATGTTTTGTTGTATTCAAAGATGATATTAAAATTGTTTTTTTACTATTGTCCAAAATAGGTTTAAAGAAAAGGACAATATTGTATTTATAAACACATCTTTATTTCATTCACATGCTTTTGGTCTAATACCATGGAAGAGGAGGATGATATCCGAGATGATGATTACATTTATCCTTCCGATTTTGAGGAAGAGTTTGAATATGTTGTTGGAGTAGAAGAAATTCTACAAAATCATCAAGATGATGGTAGTTTGGGAACACATTTTACACTCTCCGATTGGGAAACGAATATGGAAGGTACAGAAGATTATGACGAACCGTATGGATGTGATGGGGACTCTATAAATTTTTCAAGTGCCAACATTCCTATTTCCACAGATGAGTCATCTTCTCTCTCTTTTGATCATGTTTCTATTGAAACTTTCCCAAAGAATGTCCACTTCACTTTTGCAAGTATGATCCTCATGATTCAATGCTTACAAAATCAAGTGTATCCTTCTTTTGAGAAAATTCGTGAATCAGATTCTACATTTTGTCCTCTTTCTAAAAGTCATGGTCATCGTATAGATGTAGATGATGTTGTTCATAATATAGAGCGATGGAAAAAACTCCAAGACAATGTTCAATTGATTCTTGTTGAGGATGGGGTAGCTTTGGCTCCCATAAAACAAGATTCAAATGGGAAGCAAATTCCTCCCATTGAACTTTGGTCTTCTATAGTTGAAAATGCTCATGTAGATGTTACTGGCAAACATTTGCCTCTAACTCCTACATTAAATGCAATTCATGCAAAATGGAGCACGGATATTAGAGTAGGAGGAATTCATGCCTCTTACGTAAGAAATTGTCTTCACACATGTTGTACTTGTGAAGATTCAACGTTCTGGAATGAAAATCTTGTTGTTTCTCTTGATGCCTTCGGTGCTACTCTTGATGAGATATGCATAAACCACAAAGTCTTGCGGAGATTGCGTAACACAAAACGAACTAAGAGTCATATCGTAAAGTACTACCGTTGTCACAGGGGTGGAAATAAGACTCGTCCTCATAGGAAGGGATCTTTTATAAGAGTTATGGAGAATAAGAATAGTCAACAGGATAGAAAGTCGAGGTTGTGCAATTGTTCTTCTCAGTTGAAGACTATGGAGCCCATTTTTTATGACAATGGTGGTGGGTCTTCAAACGAAAAGAACATTAGTATTTCTATCCATTCAAGGCACACTGAACATGTTCCAGGGTCAGATAGTGATCTTTTATTTCTACCGGTACATCCAGTTGTTCTTGGCATGGCAGAAGAAAATTTGAAAAGAGTGATTTCCACCTCTACTGTTGCTCTTGCTTCTAAGACTAACCAATGTGACCTCCCACTTTATGCAGCAATTGTGCCAAATCAGGATGGAAAGGGAGTACCGGTGTTCTACATGTTATGTACAAAAGACCAAAAGCAAAACCTAGGGGAAGGGCATGAGGGCATTGCTTTGGAATTGGCCCTAACTGCTGTATTTGCCAATATTGGGAACATTAGACCTTCTGCAATTATTATCGATAAACACAGGACTTCATTAAACTCTATTGAAATGGTTGTGAATATGGATGAGTATTGTTGGACTATGGAAAATGAAGAAAGGGTACAAGTGGCGGGGAAAATCTTATTATGTCATTTCCATGTGATGAAAGCATGGAGTGAGAATCTCCTCACTCGCGTTTCTATCATGGATAAGGATAAATTATGGAGGGCCTTACATATTTTGATGCATTGTCCACAAGAAGAGCATTTCAACCTAAACCTTCAGAAATTCTATGAAGATTTTGGACACATACCAGGTGTTAAAGATTATATTCAGAAAGGTTGGGCTGGAGAGACTACACCATGGAGGAAGTTATGGCCTCGATTTGGTCGTCTCTTTGCTTATGGAGGCATTGATACCACAAATCATGTGGAGAGACATTGGGAGTGGATAAAATATACTTTGCTTCAGGGAAAAGTTAATCGCTCTCTTCGAGACCTTATTGTTGCAATTGTTGGTAGCGCTGCTGATGGAAGTCGAATTGGGGGGCCTACCCTCATGGATCATTTCCAAACCGTTCAACTTATAAGTAAGTATATAAAAAAAATTATTTCAATTTTTACATTATATAGGTGATTTTTTTATTAAATAATATTTGAAATCATAGTTATTATTGTTATGGTTCTTACTAATAAAAAAATTCATATAAAGGTGATTCAGGCAGATTTTCACGAAGAGGCAATGACAAAGAACATCGACGGCGATTGAAAGGAGGAGAGCGCATATTAAAAGCTTACAAAGAAGATCCAGATGCAATTTTGGAAGTCGTAAATACAGAGCACATGTTATTTTACATGACAAGTGAGTCTTCTCCTAGCATCAAATATAGTGTTTCTTTGAACACTCATTATTGTAATTGCCCTGCTCGACAATCAACCTGCAAACATATTCTAGGGCTTCAACTTATTGTGAAGGAATTTTTTTCTCCTTCACAATCTTCAGAAGTTGGAATAGAGTCTATGGATAATGTAGACTATCCTAACAATGATGCATTATCACATTTACGAGAAAATGATTTAAATATGGGTGGTTCTCATGAGGATCAAAGAAGAAGTGAGTGCAAGAGGAGGGCACGAGATCTTTGTCGGCAAGTGGAAGAGTTGATGTCACATATGATATCATCTATGGATGATTGTGATATTGAAGAAGCACAACAGAAAGAAGATGTATTGCAGAGGATTGTGGAATCTATGTCAATGCCATTTACATTTCCAAGACCTCCTACTATTGACCTTCCCGTACGTGGTTCTATAGCTCATTTACAGGAAAATGTACAACGTACTAGAATGGGACATGGACAAAAACGGAAGATGTCGGATGATGGTGAAGGTTCTTCTTCACAACCACCTTCAAAACATCCAACTCATGTGCTTGTGGCACATTCTAAGCGAAAGAGAACTGTATTTCCTCGAGTTCTTAAAGCTCATTGTCACATTTGTATGGTAAATAATAGGATTGAAGAGGGAGATGAGTATGTGGTTTGCAAGAATTGTGAAACTCCTTTGACTTTGGAATTAATTTGTTATCGCTTATGATTTACCAAAATTGAAATGCTTTATTTTTTTCCTTCTTTGCATTGTCTATGAAAATTTAGAGCTATTGAAGTTTATTTCAACAATTGCAAATGAAAAATTAGACTACAAAATCGTGATACTCTTGCCTCACTTACAAATGACACCATTAGACTGATTACATTTTTAACAAATACATTTTGGTGTAACAAAACATTTTAACCCCTAGGTACTGTAACAGTTGCACACCAAAACACTTCCAAAATGTTGGATTCCAATGCAATGAATAAATAAGGAGACAAAAAAAAAAAAAAAATCTATTTTTGACCATTGGATCCCAAATAAGCCTCAGTAAGTAACATACTCACAAATTTTTATAAACATTGATTCCATAGATTGAAAGATTATAGTGTTTGAAGTCAAGCAAAAGTTTCATATTTCTCCTTGTATCAAGTGACTCAACAAACTTTAAATTCATTTTGTGTCAAAGTCTAAATCCATTACCATTGTGTGAAGCATGATATTAGTTCCTTACATACAAATTTTTGGAGGTAGAGAAGGGGTGTAGCATATTTAAAATAATTTTGAAAGTAGTGAGGCTCTAAAACTACCAATTCACGTTTAAACTCTCTGGAGTGCTGGAGTGCTGGTGTGCTGAAGTCTCTGGAGTTGTGGAGGTGCACCGTGCCCGATACCCGGGGAGGCGATACCCGGGGAGGCAAACCTTGGGGGAGCTGTAGCGCATGGCTCAAACCCGGGGAGCCCGCACGGGTGGAGTGGAGCCCGCACGGGGCCCGAGGTGGGGGTCGCTGGTCGTTGTTCGGGCAGAAGGAGGCGCCCCGGGCAGAGGCGTACCCTCATTTCGGAGGAGCCCTTAGGCCCGAGGTCCGGCGAGGACAGAGTCTCCTCGCCACCGCGAAAGCGGGAGTCAACGGTCTATATGAGCTGCCCATCAAGGTAATGGGCAGAATCCGCGCTTCTCCCTCGAGGAGGAGTGACGAAGACGTCCGGCGGAAAGCATGGGCGGAAGGAACCCTAGCGAATACCCGGAACCTACTAGGGAGCCACACTTCTATGCGAAGTGATGAAGAGGATGCTGGTAGGAAAACCTGGACGCAGGGAAGTACCCAGATCTTGTCTCACATAGACAAGTCAGAGCGGACTGCAAATTTTGCATGTACTAAGGCCGACATTTGGCATCAAAGGCTGGGTCACTCCGGAGCAACCATGATGAGAAAGATGCTCCCCGTGTTACTCGGGCACAATCTTTGTACAAGTGATGCAGAGAAGGTCCACGAATGCACGGCATGCATTCAAGGGAAACTTGCCCGACGCCCAGCAAAGTGGACGCTCCCAACAGAATTGCTGGAGCCGCTCCACCGACTTCAAGGAGACATCTGTGGACCGATCAACCCAAAATCAGGTCCGTTCTCCTACTTTCTGGTTCTAGTTGATGCGCCGGGTAGACATGCCGAGGTATCGTTGTTAACTACCCGTAACATGGTCTTTCCAAAACTCTTAGCCATGATTTTGAAGTATAGGAACCATTTCCTTGAAAATACAATAAAATACCTAAGAGTAGATAATGCCTTAGAATTTCGGTCACACACATTTGAAGACTTTTGTGTAGCCTCCGGAATTGAACATGTTCAGAATAGGCTAGCTGAAGCCTACATTAAGAAAATTCAGCTGGTCACCAGACCGCTGTTATTTTACGCAAAATTACCCTCCACTATGTGGGGGTATGCGATTTTACACGCTGCAGTATTACTTCGGCTCAGGCCGACACTACTGCACAACACCTCACCACTAGAACTGATGTCTGGGAGAACCCCCAACATCTCCCACCTTCGAACCTTCGGGTGCGAGGTGTGGGTCCCGACAGCCGAGTTAAAACAGAAAACCATTACGCTACATAGAGAAAAGGCGGTGTACTTAGGTTATGACTCACCGAGTATCATCCGATACATGCTTCCAGGAAACACTACAATCCATAAAGCACAGTTTGAAAAATGTCGCTTTATTGAGAATAGCTTTCCTGCAGCCATTGACCTAAACACTCAATCGCCGCTAAACTTCAGAGCCATAGAGACTCTAACATCAAATCCAGATCCCCGAACTTTCTTATCAGAAACAGAAGTAAAGAAAATGTTAAACCTTAGAAATCTAACCGAGAGACTCCCTGACCGCTTTGCCTCATGATCACGGATACTTAGAAACTCGAATCCAGGAACCGGTAACTAGTTCCCGGAAACCAAGAAAAGGAAAATCCAAAAATCAGACCCTCCACCGAAGAAACTAAAAACAATAATATGCATGTAGATAGAATATCCCACTTAGCGCCTCCTCAACCAACAGTTGAGAACCCGGAAACTTTTCTCGCTCAACTAACCAGCCCGGAAACTGATCCAACAACACTGGATCAGGCCAAAGCGAGCCCTGAGTGGCCGAAATGGCAATCAGCGTTAAACGCAGAATACAATTCGCTTCGGAAAAGAGGAGTCTTTGGACCCTTAATATCTAACCTCCCTAGTAAGCCCATCGGGCACAAACTGATTTTCATGAGAAAACGTGATGAAGACGGAAAGATAGTACGTTTCAAAGTGCGCCTAGTCGCACAAGGATTTACACAAAGACCCGGTGTTGACTACAAACAGACGTACTCGCTTGTCATGGACAGCACGTCATTTCGATATATCCTTAGCCTAGCTGTACAGTTATCCCTCGAAACGCGGTTACTTGATGTTGTAACCGCATACCTGTATGGCGATTTACATGAAGAAATGTATATAAAACCTCCCCCTGGATATTTGACTAAGCAAGTTTCACCGAAATCCACTAAGAATTCCGGACTGAGGCTGTACAAAGCTTCATATGGATTGAAACAAGCCGGCCGGACATGGTACCACCGGATAAAAATATTTTTGCTTAGCCATGGATTTACTACCCACCCGGCCCTGCCCTGTATCTTTGTACTTAGAGATAAAACGGCTTTTGTTATTCTCGAAATATATGTGGATGATCTAAATCCAGTTGGGACAAAAGCCCTGTGTATGTATGTCGAAACTCTGTTGGCTACAGAATTCGAGATGAAAATCTTGGGCCGAACTACATTTTGTTTAGGCTTACAAATTAACCACTTCCATGACGGGAGTATCCTCATACACCAAGAAGCTTATGTTAAGAGGCTTCTTCGAGCATTCAAAATGGACCAAGCCAATCCCTTATCAGCACCTATGGTCGGGAGAAGAAAGATAAATGAGGTTCCTTATAGGCCTGCGTTCAAGGAGGAGGAAGAAATTGACAAACCCAAGTACCTCGCAGCGGTCGGTGCGTTGTTATACCTAGCAACCCACACGCGACCGGACATATCGTTCGCGGTTAGTGTGCTTGCTCGCTACAATCAGAGACCAGCTGCCCAGCACTGGCAAGCGGTCAAACATCTCATGCGGTACCTCCGAGGAATAGAAGACCTCGGGTTGCATTTTCGGAAAGATACCGGAGCTGACATAGTCGGTTACACCGATTTCGGATTCAAGACAGACAAAACTTCCGGGAAATCCCAAACCGGCTACATTTTTCTGAAGAACAGAGCACCAATATCATGGCGATCAACGAAACAAACCGTCACTGCAACCTCGACGAATCACGCCGAGTTGCTGGCATTTCACGAAGCATCCCGCGAGGCGGTTTGGCTGAGGACGATGCGACAGGCAATAATTGAACAATGTGGACTAACCACACCGCAGGCACCTACTATGATTTGTGAGGACAATGCTGCATGCCTTAATCAAGTAAGTTTTGGCTTCATCAAGGCAGATCGCGTGAAACATATCAGCCCACATCTGTTCAGATAAACGCAAGACGTCATAGACACTAATCAAATTGAAGTCAAGAAGATCGAGTCCTCAAGAAATATCGCGGACTTTCTTACCAAAGCGCTACCGCCACATCAGCACCGCATACTTACCAGTGATGCCGGTATGAGAACTCTCCAACAGCTCTTGATGCGATAGAGTACTATATCTCTTTTTTTCTTTCCACCCGAAGTTTTTTTTAACAAGGTAGTACTCTATTGAGGAGGAGTGTTGTGAAAGAGCTGTAGGAGCTAGCTTTAGGCCACTCATTATGAACTTCAACTCCAGGGTTTATGTGTTTGCTCAACTACTAAATCACCACACTGATATGACGGCTCGATACCGCCCCGCCGCCAATTACGAGTGTCTAATCAAACTGACACATGTAACGCTCATATAATATATGCACCCCTAATCAGGGGATGCCCATGGTTGTTATGTGCATTCACGTCTCCCGCGCTGTACACTCCCTGCGTCCTCTTCGCCCAATTCCACAACACTTCGATCTATCATTTGTACATGCTTCAAATCCTGCCTGCCTGTCGATGGATATCTTCATTTTGTACATGTGTCTGATGGACAAACGTGTCCGTACATGAATCTATTCCTCTCGCACGTGATGTATCCGTCATAACCTATCAATGATCTATATTTTCTTCATGGCTGTAATGTACATGTTGGTGTATTTCGTTGGATCTACCAATTGTGTACATCTTCATCCACATGCCCCGTCACTCCCGCCATTCCTCTGCGCTCAGCGCCCATCGGAGTGGACCCACTTTTGTGAGACCCAGGAGGCCCACACTAAAGGAGACCCAGGAGGCCAAACTGTGGTGGTGGAGGTTGCAACTAGGGCGCAGTTGAGGGCTTGTGTTTATGTTCCAGTATGTTTATGTTCCAGTTTGGTGGCGATTATGATGAGATAGTGAGGCTTGGTAGGGATTTCTGAGTTTTGAGCGTTTTGGAAGTTTTGCCCATCTTGCTGCCTTTGGTTTTGGATGCTGCGTTGGAGTATTTATTTGTAACCCTGTTGGTTTTCGCTCAGTTGTAGAGGAGCGGGGTGTGACTGGGATTTATTTTGCTTGTAAATGTGTATAGATGGACAGCACAGATGAACAAGAGTTGGCACTGAGACCACGAGTCTGCGTAATCAGTGAACACTAAAAAATTGTAGAACCCATGCCGTGTTGCGATTGTGTTGAGGTGACGGAATGAGCACAAGGAAAGGTGTGATACGAAGGAAGTGAGGGAATGTGGAGAATTTTGTTGACAGGATCAGCGTGTTGCAAATGTGGGCAATCCAGAGGATTTTGGGGTATGCCTGGGATCCGAAGGATATCCAATCTTCAGAGATTGAGGTATGTGCTGCCCCTGTTTTTGCAGAATTTTGTCTTCAAAATTGGATCCATGGACGCGCCATTGATGCTCTCGAAAGTTTTCTCAAAGAAGGCTTGCATGTATTAGACGACGGAGTTCTCTTGCGTTGGCTGCAGCGCTCTTGTTGAATTAGAAGAACTCTATTTGTCACCTCATAGTGTGTAAATTCTCTTGCCATCTTGTAATAGAAATTTGATTACTACAGAAAAATTAGTTCCATTTTGGAGATAGTTTTGGAGTCTCTACTGTAAGGTTAGAAGTGTGGTTTTCTGTGGTGTATCCAGAGTTTTACGAAGTGTGCAATTTCGCTCACGCCCTGAGAGCATCTTCGGTAACCACGAACGTAGTTGCGATTTGCTCTCATTGGTAAGCCTTTCAAACCCTAAACGCACAAACTCTTTATATTCTTTGTCCGGGATAGGTTCATGTGCCTGAACTTCTGTTCTAAGAATTGCTGTGACCCCTGACCTAGGTTCTGCTACTGTGTTCACTGGGATTTTGTTACGTTTTGCTTGTAGCTTAGCGTGGCAATCCTTGCTGTCCGGACAGAATTTAGGAACATGACGTACAGGGCAATCAACGATTTCGAGGGCATTCTGAGAATAATCATCCGAATGCAGCAGCCCGGGCGGGTGATTATTCTCAGAGTTCCCAAGGGAGCGTGGATCGACCGGCGTAAAGTCGGAGCCTTACGATCTTTGTCCGCATGCTGAACATGTTGTGCACTCAGTGAGCCTGTGAAGACGTGGACAGAAGATCTGGTGTACGAAGCTGCACATCACGATCAGGGTTTCAATGTTATACTTTCCATTACGAGCTTCTGTCCGCTGGAGCGAGGATTATGAGAAATATCCTGTCCTTGATTGTAAAGAGAATTTCCTTCGTTGGGCTTTATGAACACGGTTGTCGCCCAACGTGTGGGAAGTGGGAGAGCGTGCGCTTTCGTCAAGTCTATTTTAGCTATACGAAGCGGTGCTTGTGGGGTTTTCGTCCTATCGGGTCTCATTGTCGATCCTGAACGAGATCGCAATTTTCATTGTAGTGTTTGCACGTCTAGCTGTTTTCAATTGTAGCGAGCAGCATCGCTTGAGCTTCTACTCGAACTCTTTTTCCCCGTTTGACCTGCAAGTCATTTGTGATTTACAAGTCAATGCAGCAAAGGATTTTTGGAGTTGCAATTATTTCAGTAAATCAGTTGTTCTTTTTGGATTGCAGATGTTCTACAAGCAAGCTAAGAAGGTGAATCAGTAATGCACCATTTTATAAATACATTGGCTGCCATTTGGGACTTTCCAGGTCCGTAATGGGTTGGTTAGCCTGGAGACAGGTGCGCCTGGATCCCTCAATCTGATAATTTGACATTGCACCTTTCTGGAAAAGTTGGGGTACGTTCTTCCTTCTACAGGTATGACTAAAAGTCCCCAAATTGCTGCAAATTTTCATCGCCGGTTCAATTATAATTCTGCAGACTCGATACACATACTGGAAAAAGCTCCCTAAAACTTAAGACATTGCACTGCAGGTTGCATGCGTAGCTTTGCGAGCCTACTGAGATGTGCACGAAGGAGGAGCAAAAGTTCAAGTCATGCACCTTTCAGCCCAGGCACACCTATCGTAAAGTTGTCATGTGCCGACTTGCTGTAGTTACGGGTGTATGGTGCGATCCGATATTGGTTGGTACAGGGGTGGCGTCTACATCTACTTCCATTGTATGTCCTACGTGCAACCATGTTAAGTACGAGGGCGTGCAGTAGCATCATGGGCTCGAAATCAGCTGAAACCAGTGGTGGGTCGAGTGGGGGGCGGCAACCTAGTCCTTTGGACCTGTACTCCAAAGGCACACAAATTATTGAGCTCGGATCCGCAGTGTGGCCGGAGAACCCCATTCGTACTGGTAGGTCTGAGGTGTACATATGGGGTTCTGAGCACGCGGTGAAGCTCTGCATGGGCCCGACTTTTGCCCTTCATGAATATACTATGAGCCGGGCAGCTAGGAACTATGCTGTGCGTACTGTAGCCATGTTCACAATTCATGGTAAACCAAATGGCATAGTCATGGAACGGGGGAAGTCTGTGAACCCGGTGACGTGCGATTTAAAGCAGATTGCATTTGAGATGGTGCGAGCCGTTCAAGGACTCTATAGCATAGGCATTATCCACGGGGATATAAAATTGTCTAGTTTCCTCGTTTGTCGTGATGGATGCGTTCGTCTGTGTGACTTCGGAACTAGCGAGTACAAATGTGATAGTGTGAGCCACTCGGAAATGTCTATTCCATGGTCAAGGCCTTCATTGTTGCGCAATCCTGACAGGCCGCGTGTCAAGGCGGACGATTTGTACTCGTTGGGGCTGACAATATGGGAATTGTATACGGGCAAGGTTCCATTCGTACCACCTACATCTGAGGGATGGGAGTCACTGGATATAAACGAGGTAGCAGAAGAGGCGATACTGGCGGGAGAGCAGGTGGACCTCAATGACATATTAGACCTTGAGATTCGCTGTGGTTGCTTCACTTGTGAGCGAGGAGGTCGAGCACCCACTCTGCCAGGTGTAGTAACTTGGGGCTTCCGAAAAGTAGCCAAATATTGAGCCGAAAGAGGGGTTGTCAACCTAGACATAGCATTTACGAGCTTCATCTCAGTAACTTCTTCCCCAAAAATGAGGTTGCACTCATCTGTAAATGTTAGTCTATAATACCAAAGAATGGTCTTTTTGTTTGTTTGTCTGTCTATAATCATAAGGTGGTATTGGATGGGACAGGTCTTTAATTACCGTTGCGAATACTCTCTGATTGCCAGCTACATTCTTTGCGGTGATGATCTCAACCAAGTCTACCAGTTTTTCACCACATTTCATATATTCTCATGACATTTTTGAATATGTTGTCTTCATAAACTAAATCATGATCCAATAGTCGGAGATGGGAATTATATGTCTCCTTTATTTTTGCACCTTATAAAAAATGACAACTTCAGTGTTATTACGTGAAAAATGGTATCTCATTTTGATTCTACAACATTAATAACGGCAACATCTCATTTTGATTCTACAAAGGTGTATCGATTTACTAGTAGATAAATAATGTGTACTGATTTAAATGGGCCATGAATATTTGACTTTGAATGAGTGAAGAGTTGGAAGTAAGTACAGAAAGCAGTAACTTATGTGCAGGTGAGGTTGTTGCTGCACACTTTTACCACAGTAATTGCTTCATATGCTAGAGCATTCATCAATTGCAATCAAAAAAGGGCATTTAGATCAGAGAAGTGTGTGCCATGAATCTACATAAGTGCAAGTAAACAAGTCAAAGCCCGACATTACCAGATTATGAGATGTAAGAATTTTCCTCATGAAGCTCAACAGTTATTCACATCCAAGGAACCTGACACTACACTGCTCTCCTCTTTAGCGCTACCCACACCAGGGATTTACTCATCAGATGAAATCTTTAATCAACATTGAAGATGTTGGTACTTTTAATGCTGAAGAAAGCTATATATATGTAGTGCGTAAAATATTCATAAAAGACAATAGTTGTTACACTATTAATCCATTTAGTGTAGGGAACACTAGTTGGAGCTAATGGTTTAGTAGTTAACATATTGTTTTTCACTTATTGTCTTTCACTTACTATATCAAACATTTATGAAGGAGGTGAGTTGACGTGGTCACCAAAAATAAGAAAAAGTAACCTTTTCCACATATTGAGACACTGAAGAGCAACAAGTTATGAGTGGAAAAATGATAGGGTTGCTAATAATATGATAGTTCTTTAGTCAAAATGTCTATAATAGAGCCGAGAATTTGAGAATGCCATATTGTATGTTAATCCTTGGATTCTAGTGCAATGAATAAAGAAGGAAACTAAGACTTTAGTTTCTAGTTTTGACCATAGGATCTTAATTAAGACTTGTTAATTAACATACTCGCAAAATTTTGTAAAATTTGGCCTTACGCATTGAAAGATTATAGTGTTTGAAGTCAAGCAAATGCTTTATTTTCTTCCCTGCATTTAGTGGATCAGCAGACTTTGACTTCACTTGGTGTCAAATTTTTGCACTACACAAGGTCTAAGTTCAATACCATCATGTTAAGCATGATGTTAGTTCCTTATACACCAATTTTTAGAGGTAGAGGAGGGGTGTAGCATATTCAAAACAAGTGTGCAAGGAGTCGAGGTTCAAAAATTGCAAATTAGCGTTTTATTTTATTGTAAACTTAATATGTTCTAGAATGATCATCCAAATGGTCAACAAGAAGCTTTACATCACTAATTGTTGTGAAAAAAATAAAGAGTAAAAAAATATGAAGATCTCTAAGTTTTATGTGCTAAGGGAGAAGTTTTTCTAAAACCTTGCCACAATGTATGACAATGTGTGAAAATGTTTGACTTGGCCTAACATGCTATTTTTCACTAAAGACAAGAACTTTTTTTTGAGAATGTGAAAGGAAAAAATATTACTTGCTGTATTGGAAATCTCACATTCATTAGAGTGTCTCATCGACAGTTTTTGGAGGTGCCTGACGAGCCCGTTCTCCCCAAATAAATTCCAAAACCCTATAACTTTTCATTAAATGTTAGATTTGGAAAAAAAAATTGTTCTCACACTAAGGTATTAGTAATGTCCATCTACAACAAATATTTCAAAGAAGAATGCTGTAAATTGACACCATAGAAGACTGACCAAACTATCAAATTGCCATTCTATGACACTTGGTCCTTTAGGGATTAAGTATACCCATAATCGATAATATGGGTAAAAGGGTTACTTCCTTCTAGAGTTTGACATTTCAGCTCAGAAATGTTCAATAATGATAGATTTAAATGTTTTTACACACAATGTAAATTATGAATATTTACCACTGTATATTCGTAATTTACCACTTGTATCACACTGTGTCACAACACCAAAGACAATCTCTTTTACAAATGATAAAGAGTTTGTTTCACAAGACCATTAGATTCTTTGAAATCCACCGTGAGGGAATTGCAATACATGTGAGTAATGATGTGGGTTAAGACTAGTTTTGTTACATAATATAATGCTCCAGCAAGGTTGCAGCCTTTCCACATTTTTATGAATCAGCACATTGAATTTGCATTGTGGCATCTTTGATATTGTATTGTTGAGAAAGATGATTAAAATAGGTCCCAACAAAAGGCTTGACAATGAACTTGTAATGAGCCATTTTCCTCAAATGTCAATTGATGATTCACGTAAATCTCTACCAGGCCAATTTTTATAGTGACTTTTTAAAAACTTTTTTGAAGGTTAGGATTAGGAAAGCAGCTTGTTTTTTGCACTTGAAATAGGAATTTTATCTATTATGCTATTAAAATTTTATTCTTTGTTTGACAGACAACTTGGGTAATAATGATACACTACCTATTTCTCTGAAGATTGTTTCTTGTAGAAGTACGTTGTGTATATGTCTTTGATATTGTCAAAAAACCACTCCATGTTTGGAAAGTTTCATTCAAAGAGGATTCAATTTTTAATAAATTCCATTTCTTGATGCCTAAAAATCCTTGGCAATTTCTTCCAAAATACTTTGAAACTGCCCATTCTAGTGCAAAGTGTGGAAAAGGAGAAATAAAACGTATATTTCTATCTTCAACCATACAATCTCAATCTATACTACTCAATATACATGCTCATAATAGATAACCGTATAAATTGGATGATTATAGTGTTTGAAGTGAAGTTAAAATATCTTTAAGAGGATCTTGTGTTAAGAAAGTTAATAGAATTTGACTAGACTTGGTGTCAAATATTTGCATCACAAAAGTTCTAAATCTCATATTGTTATGGTATACACGATGCCAAGTCTTTGTACACCAATTATTAGAAATAGAAGGTTAATGAAGCATTCTCAAAATAATTGTATAAGGTGAAGAGATTCAAAATTGACCAAAACAATTTTTTTCCTATAATAAGCTCATTTTTTTCTATATTGAAAAATTCAGATGGCCAAGACAAAAGTTCATTCATTTCTTCGAGTGGATTATAATGAATGAGAATGAGAAAAATGAGCAAAGATTTCTAATTTTTATTATAATTAATGTGGAAAGAATAAAGATTTTTGCACCCTATACAATGAACTTTGACTCCTCTTGGAGTCCAAGTTCTACACTACAAAATCAAAGTTTATCATTTTGATGATCTCAAACTAGTATCTTGTTCTTGAATTGCATAAAAAATTTCATCATTTTTGTCCATTTTGGGAAGATACCCACCTTTGAAAACATTCCTTAAGATGACATAACTTATACTCCATAAGTCCAATGAGAATAAAAATGACACTCCCACATAGTTCTTATCTTCTTACATCTTCATTAAATATTATTTATAAGGACTAAAAGTATAAGTTACAATCATAGAATCCAGCTCAAGATTTGCAAAAGCTCTCTTTTGGACTTTGCTCTTTAGGATTAACATGGAAAAAGCCTTTTCATTAGTACAGCAAAATTAGAAGAGTTTTTTTTATTTTTTTTGTAATTCATTTTATTTTAAACATTTTTTGTGACTCAAGAATCATGAGCAACCATTGTTTTTTTGGAGTTCAAACTGTAGTGGGGCTTTGAAGAACTGAGTTTACAAAGAACAAATGTATCAAGGCATTTTTTTGACATGTTTCTGTAATAAATTTACCAGGACCCAAGTTTAATAGTGTTTGGTATCAAACCATGGTACACCTGCTTGACAGTCGTGGCACTATTATTTGTAGAAAAATTGAGTAACCCTTAAACATCGGAACGACCAAAATTTGGTTGATGGATGAATGTAGAATGCTCCCACATGATGAAAAATCATTATTTTCATTCAACATTTTTTTGGAGAATTCATTGAATGTATAAGTGATAGATGATGATGAAACATGCCTCATTGAGGTAGACATGTTTTATCTAGAGAATAAAATCTTTGTGACATGGATCTCAATTTAGTGTATTGTAGAAACCTCTAGCTTTTGCTTTACATCTAAATTCAATTTATTCAGATGATGCTTTGAGAATTGAAGTCTAACCAATGATAGGAAGTTTTGAAGTCTATTCTCCATTCCAATTTGAAAATTTGAAAAATACATAAAATTGAATTGGGATTTGAACTTTGGACCTATAACCATGGTTGACCAATTTTCTAATTTTAGCTGAATATGGAAGTTTCATTTACCTCACAAGTTTTGTCCCTATAATGTAATCTTTTGGTGAAATGCTCAGAATTTTATTAGCTTACTTTGTATTTTATATGAATTTTCTTCACTTTTTCACACATAAAATTGTGTTTCTCATGCTATAAACAAAACATGTGATCTCATCTTTGACAAATGAAATAAAAAAACTTCCACTTATATTTAATGAAGAATTAGAGCACATAGTAGAATGGATATTAGGGTTGATGCCACACTCATAGGCTTCGTCCTTTAAAGGTTGACTTGTATATGCTCTCAGAAGAAGACTGCCTTGCCTAAGACATAGTTATTATTTATTTTTACACAATACGAGTATTTGTATCAAGATTAAAGATGTTGGATACTACCAGTAGCCATGTCGAATATTATCCACAAACATATATGGCGAAGATTTTTCATCTTGTGTAAGGTATCATAGATCCATGATTTAATGAACTCTATGAACATTTTTCAAGTTTCTTTGGTAAGATTGGTTGTTTGGACCTTAATTGGAATTGCTATTAAGTTTTATAGCGATCAGAGTCTAGACATATGCCATCCTTTACAGTTCAAAAAGTATGGGTTTTTAAAGGGATCTTTGGTTAAGAGTTCGTTTCTACCAGAGCACTAGAAAGAGAATCACAAGAAAAAAATTGCATTTGATATGATTATTCTGTTTCTATACAATCATCAAGACAGGCATCTCCATGAGTCGCACTAAAACCCTAAGCCACCAGTCACAAATATCTCCATGCTAGTAGCTGTTTCCAATATATATCCCCATTGAAACTTAGGGCCGCTTCACACCTAAAGGCCAAGTCGAGAGTCCATCGATTTCCACCAATGAGATTGCTAGAATGGCCAAAGTCCGGACAATGGGCCTTCACACTTGTGCCCAAAGTCCAAAGGCCGTCGTCCTCCATTGTGCCTACATGGCAACACTTTTGAGGAGTTTTGGCGCCAAAACTTGGCCTCTCAAGTGCAAACTTGGGTCGCCATTTTTAGGCGACCCAAACTTCCTTCGAGAGGCTGTCAACTTCCTTCGACCTATATTATTTAATGTTTTTTTTTAGCCCAAAAGTTTGGCCTCTTGACATTGTTTGGGTTGAATTTCTGATGGACGGTTGCTCGACTCGGCCCAAGTGTGAAGCGGCCCTTAATTACATGATTACTTGGTTAGATAAAGAGCCATTTTCCAAAAGCACTTCATTTTTAGGGTTGCTTCACACTCAACCCAACTTCATAGAAGACCACACTATGCCAAGGATCCAAGTAGAAAATTATTAAAATATTCAATTGAATATGTTAATGAATAGAAGTTTGCCTCTTTGATAAGAGCTTGGGTTTCCATTCCCATTGGACCAAACTTTTTCTTGAGGGGTCAAGCTTTTGGTGCCAGAGCTTGCAAAAAGTGCTACCATACAGACATGTTGGTGGTTATTGACCCTTGGGCATTGGCCCCTAGTGTAAACCAAGTTTGAGCTCTAGACCAATTGCATTTGCTAGAATTGTTTGGCCTCTCAACCTTGGCCCTTAGTGTAAACCAGCCTATAATGGGTGTGGTTTTGAGCAAAAGGCAAGTCATTGCGGGCACCTGAAGATGAGATAGACAACACTTATCTTTGAACATGATAACTGGAAAGTGTGTCCCAGTCTCAACCTATGTTGCACATCATCTCCAGACCTTCTCCCAACAACTCCAAAAAACATGACATTAGACAGTTGCCAATTTTTGGTAAACATAGCCATACCCTTTTCAAAAAGGAAAGAGTAGGATTTAGGGTCAATCCTTAGTGAGCTTGTAGACCAAAATGGTCCATATGATCAACTAGACTTTGCTGCACATTTATCTTGCAAAGGTGAAAAATATTTTCACAAATTTTTAATAATATTAAGATATCCTCAAAATCAAACACCATAGTCATTGGAAGACTTTTTAATTACTTTTACCCACTCAAATAATTCACAACTTCCTTGTGTATAAGTTTCATGTTTTCATGTGCAATCCCATTTAGAGGTCAAGACACTGATTCACCAAGGAACAAGACATTGGAGATGATGTTAGACGGTTGCATGTATAAACTATCTATCATACACTATTTTTACATCGGACCTCTAGAAATATGTTATATTACTGTAGTGCAATTTATTGGACTCCTAGAAACTTTAAGTAGCAATAGAACTTTTGCTACACCATTCTATTAATAATGAATTTTTAAAAAATCAAGTAGTATTATATTCCTCAAAATTGTCAAAAAAAATCTTGTCTTTAGTGTAAAAATCCCATTTGAACAAAAGTAAAACATTTTCACACCCTATTGGACAAGGTACAAAAACAACTTTATCTTTTCAATACAAATTATAGTGATTTTTGACATTTTTATGTTTTTTTTGTTTTATTTTTTGTTATAAGATGTGGTATGAGAATTCTTTCTTACTATTTGGATTTCCAATTTCAAATTGAATTCACAACAGATGAAATTGTGAATTGGTAGTTGTTGACCTTAAGCTCGTTGCACAATTTTTTTGAATATGCTACACCCTTCTTCTCTCTGTAAAAGTTGGTGTGCATGGAACTAACATTATGTATACCATGATGGTATGAAATTTAACCTTGTGTAATGCAATATTTAACACCAAGTCATGTCACCAAATGCTGATTCTTTAAATGCATGGAAGAAAAACACCTTGCTCTTCACTTCAAATACTACAAACTTCCAATCCATGTGGTCGAAGTTTATGAGATATCGAGAGCATGTCAGTTTGATTGGACTTGCATGTAGAGTACAAAATGATCATACGGTAACTAGAGTGGTACACTATCAGATCCTTTTAAGAGTGGAAGAGGCCAGCATGTACAAGTACCTACTGTATGTGGCCTTCTTGAAAGGGTTCTCAAATGGTTTTCAAGAACCCTGATCATAGTTCACATCCAATTACATCCAAGTCATACAACAGTTTCCAGTAACCGGTTGGGGTGACCGTCGGATTCCGCCTTAATGAGCGGTTGAGATGAGAAACTGTTCTGAATGGTTTGGATCATTTCGCTCCAACGGCAGTGATCAACGCTCAAGAACCTCGAGTGGTTTTTTCGGATCTCGGATACTGCACTCAAGTACTGACAAGTTACCACCTGATCTCTTCCAATGATATTCGGACACGTCATCCGGATCCAAGCCCCGACTGGTTAAAACAAAAATATTTGTACAACTTTCATTTAACCTGGTGTAATTTAACCAGGTGTAAGGACACATCCCTCACAGCAACGTGAGAGAAGATATTATGAAGTGCTCCTGTTCTTTATTTGAGCAATGTGATGCATGTTGCTTTTGATTTCTTGGCACTTGAAGGAGAAGCTCAAGGCGGAGCTAGAGAGAGCTCATTGCTCTCGCCATGGTGGACGCCTCAGGCTTGTTTGTTGTCTCGATTATTGCGAAACATGCTAAGGAGGTTAGTGTAGCTTCCATTGTGAAATTTCTTTGTGCGTTTGTGGTTCGGTAACGCTCCAGAGAACAATTCTGTGAACTTTTTTTTGTTACTTGCAAATCAATGCAATCGGTTTCAAATCAATTGTTGTAAAATGACAATCTTTTGGATAGATAGAAGTGCATGGCTGTATGCGAGTTTCTTGAATTGTTTTCTTCATTGCAGCTTTGGAGGCAATAAGTAATTTAGGAAGGTTCAGCAGAAGTTTGAGTTGAGGTGCAATAAAAAAAGTTTAGTAGTTTGTTGGAGAGAATGCATTCTGCTGTTTAGAAGTTTGGAGATGGATGAGACTCTATTTAGATGAAAGTAATATGTTTTTATGCTGGCCTTGCTGCACTTGACCTTAGAACCGCGAAGCTGCATCTATCGCAGTTAATTTCAATGAGCCATTCGTACTAGAATACTACAATATTGCTGAATCCGGTAGATATTATTACACTGGCTAATATGATTGAGCCTTAGGGGATGCTTGGGTTACTGACAGGTGAATCAATGCGCTTCTGCGACAAAGGTACGGCGCTTTGCATTTGTGACTTGAATAGTGTGGAGCATTTGTAACCTCGAATGACTCAAAAGGATAGTTTTGGACAACACAGTTAATTTTTAAGCGCCTAGATCCGAGGAGGATTATTACCGCTGCAGTTGCTCACTCATTAAATTACATTTTGAAAATTGTATGCGCGAGGAGGCAATCTTGGTTTTTAATGAAACATTCAACAATTCTTTGGGAGCTTCCTATAAACGACACTGCCTCTGTCTTGTTGCATCTGCAGTAATGTTCAGATGGTATATGCACTCTATGAGATGGTAGCTGGTGTGGGTAACCAGTTATAAGAAGTACATTAAAAGTTCCTTGAAAGTACTAATAACTTGGTGTTCTGGATTGGCACCATATTATACTGCTTACTAACAGTGCTACTCTGCGAGTCGATTTTGGCTCCAGGCTGTGCTGGCCCTAATCATCATTTGTTAAAACGAAATGGAGACTTGAAAGCTGATTGAGGACGTTTCCCCTTGATGTGCAGAAGGTACGGAAAGGCTACCATATTCTCCTAATGCTCAAGTGGTTTCATTTAAGCTTTACTTGGCAGAGAACATCTCAAGAATCACAACTCACACTATTAGAACTGGACCTTTGAAATACCATTCATGGTAATTGTAGGTGCTACAAGATGAAGTTTTGCTGCTGAGCTACATTAGGGGCATGTTGTATTGTGAATCTTAGCCACCTTTCTCCTCTTTGAGCTGATGATAGATGTTCAGAGCCATGTGGGGCTGATTTCAACAATTGAAAATGAGAAAAGAGGACGAAATCAGAGTGTCTTTGCCCCACTTTACAGATACCTCTCTCTTTTCTGACCTTCCCAGGAAAATCCAAACATAAGCTCATGACAGAATGTGGACATTACTGCAGGTGGAGAACCTGGAGCAGTACATCAAGTGGAGCAGTACATCAAGCGGCTGCAAGAGCACATCATCATGGCTGAGAGCACATACAAGCTGCTGGTGAAGGAGCTCCCAACTTCCGGCATGCGGCTGAGATCATTCTGGCTCTCACAGGCCAAGGCACCACCACCTCCACAACACCAGTAGCAACATCAGAGGATGATCACGCCATTGTCCTTTATAGATGAGAACATGCAAATTACTATCTACTTTAACTCCAGAGCTAGTACATTGACATAACCTTCATGTTAGAAACTGAACAGATTCACATTCTGTACAATAGAGGTAGAGTCGTTTAGGGTAGAAACAGAATAGCTCTACATCAGGTCTTTTTCTTGTACAACTGTGCTGGTTGTTTTTTTCCCCTGTTCAGTTTATATAAACCCTAAGTTGCATGCACATGGATTTTCCTTCAGTTGGTTGCAAATGCAGCCGTATCAGTAATGTAATCCTAAACATGTATGCACATTACTGAAACTGATTTCTGAACTTACTCGTGCTTTAAAAGAGGAATATACCATCGATAAAAAAAAGCACTAAAAGTGGCAGTTTTGAATGATATAATTGAAAACAAAGACATGGCCTTTCAAGGGTAAATTGATTAAAAAAAAGTACTAAAAGTGGCAGTTTTGAATGATATAATTGAAAACAAAGTCATGGTCTTACAATGGTACCATTCAAAGGTACCACTTTTAGTGCCTTTTTTGTCAATATACCCTTGAAAGACCATGACTTTGTTTTCAATTATATCATTCAAAACTGCCATTTTTAGTGCTTTTTAAAATCAATTTACCCTTCAAAGTCCGTGACTTTATTTTCAAGTATACCATTCAAAGGTACCACTTTTAATGCTTTCTTATCAAGTTAACCTTGAAAGACCATGACTTTGTTTTCAAGTATACCATTCCAAGGTACCACTTTTAGTGCTTTTTTATCAAGTTAACCTTAAGAAACCATGATTTTGTTTTCAATTATATCATTCAAAATTGCCACTTTTAGTGCCTTTTTTTTAAATCAATTTTCCCTTGTAAGACCATAACTTTGTTTTCAATTATATCATTCAAAACTGCCACTTTTAGTGTTTTTCTTTTTTATCAATTTACCCTTGAAAGACCATGACTTTGTTTTCAACTATCCCATTCAAAGGTACCACTTTTAGTGCTTTTTTCATCAATTTATCCTTGAAAGACCATGAGTTTGTTTCAAGTATACCATTCAAAGGTACCACTTTTAGTGCTTTTTTATCAAGTTAATTTTGAAAGACCATGACTTTGTTCTTATATCTACCATTCTGAATTTCTACTTTTGGTACTTTCTATCAAGTTAACCTTGGAAGGCCATGATTTTGTTTTTAATTATATCATTCGAAACTGCCACTTTTATTGCCTTTTCTTTTTATCAATTTACCCTTGAAAGACCATGACTTTGTTTTCAATTATATCATTCAAAACTGCCACTTTTAATGCTTTTTATCGATGGTATACTCCTCTGAATGGTATACTCCGAGATTCGATGCTCAACGGCGCATCCTTGATAAACCTCAGATTTAAGTCTCTAATCGACGTGAACATCAAACAAACTTTACTTAATGATCTGCCTACAATTCCTTCTCAAACCAAAGAGTTCGCTTCCTCATTATAAAAAAAGAACTACAACTCATGTTACACTTGAACACTTAAACTAGGCAGTGGAAAGGAAGACCGTCGAGGCTTGCTCAAGAGCCGATTCTTGAGAGTAGGATCGACCATTACATACCATTTTGAAATTACGGCTGTCATGGTCCCATTTCATTATGGGCTGATAATCACAAGTGGCTGTGCAGAAATACATATCTAGAGAAAACCTGGAGTACATTCTCTTCAGCTATAAATTCTTTGGTAGCAAGCATGACCGGGGAGACCATAGAGATTCTATGAGTTTGATAGATTATGCAGAACATCATGTACACATTGAATACACATCACCACAACACTAATTCACCTATATCACTATAGTTTGCTAGAGCCTACATCAATTCTTGTAGCAACAATCTAATGAGTATCATAACTTGGGATGTGTCACCTTTGGTGCTGATTTCCTCCATTGTTTGCAATGGTGTATTTTCATCCTCCAAAGATCACATTTGGGCCTCTTAAACACTAAGTGGTTAACTGGCAAGAATGGAGATCGCTTAGACTCCACTAAGAAAGGTGTCATTAGAGTATTCGTGGTTTTAACCCTTCAGTGTTACAAGGTGGCACTGGTGGCCACAATATTCTACATGTATGGTGTTGTATTTGAACATGATAACTTGGTTCAAATAATGAAATGACCATTAAATGAAAGAAGTAACTTAGCTGAAGAATCTTCAATCCAAAGGTATAAGCCTTGCTAAATTACATTTTTGTATTCTACAGAGTAAAATACGTGCCTGTACATATGTTTCCCAACTGACATTTGAGGTTTTGAAGCTGATCATGCACAAAGTTCATGCATACTAAATGCTTGTCTTACAGCCAGAACATGTGATTAGCACTGAAATCAAGGTTCGTAATCTGCATGGCATCCTCCCTGTAGGCTCTAGAGTGTCTAATCTCATACGTCTCAGTCTGATGATAGGCCAGCCAACATTTATTAAGATGCTCCTATTTGAGTAATGCCTGTGATATTTGGTCGACACATAGCTCGATATTGAGGTGATACTCGGGTCGGGTATCATGTGAAATGGCCTGAGTTCATATGTGCTTGTCATGCTGAGGGCTAATAGCCGCTTATCTTTTGGTTTACATATTACCATATCATTCGTACCTGGGAATTAGCAGTCTTCGATCTTGGCAATGCCTTGTGGTTCATGTTACTTGGGATTACAGTAGCCTATGTCAATTTTCACACCTCCAAGTAGATTGATTGATTTAATTAAGAAAAAGACCTTCCAGCTTTCAAGAATACAATGAAACCATTTTTGGCAGGAAGTCATATACTTTCATGACCATGGGGTTCAACTCAAGACCTTGGGGTTTCAAATTGAATAAGGTAAACCTCCCGGTAATCAACCAAAATCCATGACCAACAACTATAAAATTGGGGTATGTATCCAACCCACTTCCATCACATTACCACCCATTCAGCTCCAAATAATGGTTTCCTATTAGTTTGAATCCTTACTTTTGGTCGGTGCTCACGGAGGTACCTATTAGTGGCCTTTGGCTAAACATGGCAACTCACCTTGGAAATTTCCCACTAATTCACATTTCATCAAGAAAAATATGAAATCACTTGGATTGAAATTGTAATCATTCTATTGGCTATCACTAAATAACAATTGTGTTATTATTTGATCTCTCCATGTATGCACATTATAATGTTGTAATGACACCATTCAACCGCATATATACAACCTCCCTTCATTTTGAAGTAGAAATTTAGGTTCAAAGTAGAGATCTTATTTTTGTAACTTCAAAAGATAAGCCACGTAGCTTGAACCTACATTTCTATCCTAAAATTACATAATATTCTCCCTTGAAATAATTAGGGGTTGTTCATGATATGGTTTGTTGTCACATTGTGGTTTCACATCAACTAACAATAAATGATTGGTTCTTCCATTCTTGATATTTCATAATATTCTTTGCCATTAGACTCATTTTTGAAGTCACCAAACATTGATAAGATGTTATGAGCTTTTCACATTTAGAATGCTTCAAATCATCTCTAAATAGTTTTTAGTATTTTAGAATTAGGTTGAAGAAGAGAAGGTGGCTGACTTGATGGATTTCTTTTAAATTAATGGCCAACAACTTGATAGATTTCTTTTAAATTAATGGCCAACAACTTGATAGATTTCTTTTAAATTAATGGCCAACAACTTGATGGATTTCTTTCAAACTTTTTGATATTTGCGACCTTGTAACCTATGTTATCTTACACTTAAGAATGAAACATATATTTGCAAGTCATACATCATTACTAAAATTTTAATTTCACACTATTTGAGGTTGTATACATGTTTATGTTTTTGATTGTTTGAGTTGAAGATCTCATTATTCGATAGTTAAAATGCATTCATATGTTTAGAACATTACCGTAGCTATACTTCCAAACTTCTCAATTAACCAATTAGATCAACATAATTTTAAAAAAATTAGTTATATATTTGTCATTTGGAAATTTTAGATAACATCCTATAATATTTAGTTTAATTTGATTGATTTTGATTTTTTCCTCTACTTACACATAGCATTTCTAATACCTCACAACATATAAATTAGGAACTGTTGTAAAATATACATATCTATTAAGAAACCAGAGAATGATCTAATTGCAACTAGGATTATTTGCAGTATAAAGTCTACAATGTTATCCAAAAAAAAAAACATATTGAGAGTTAAAAATAAAGCGTTTCTAGAAGTGAGAAGAATTTGGATACAAGTCTTATACGTCCAATGAGAATGAGATTGAATCAATAGAGTATGGAGCATGGGACCAACTCCTTCTCTCAAGCGAGTTGCTCCAAAGCTAGATCCACTAGATGCCAAAGGCTTGTACACTACATCATTTGTTGTAGGATAAAACTTGTTAGTTTAGACACTTTATTATTATCACTTATATAATGAACGTAACAATGGTAACTGTCGGTGATCGATCCATAATCCTTAAATGTCAATCTAAAACCACATTGACAAACACATACCGTACTCTAGGGTCAGGTTTGGCTAAAATAATTCTAATAACAACTGCCGAAATTTTTGGAAAATTTGAAAAAAAACTTCAAAATTTTAACATGGTGAAAAAAGGGATTTTGAAAATATTCTATTTTAAGACATTTGCCAAACTTCTATTTTGGGAAAAAAATAATTATTCGGCATAAGAGTGCCGAATATGACACTAGGGTACGGTATTATATACTGTAGAATATTCAAATTGTATAAATATCTAGCATGACTTACACCTTTGTATTGAAGATTCTTCAACTAATAACTTTTGTTTGGAAGTCATTTCAATATCTATACCTTATCATGTTCAAATACATCACCATATTGAGGCTACCAATGGCACCTTCTGATATTTAGGTGTTCATCTTTATTCCAATGGCACAAATGGGCGCAAGCCTAGTGAGGGGTCTCAACAAGAATGTCTCCACCTCTAAACCACACACCATTCTTGAGGGGTGGATTGGCAAAAATATTTTAAAAAGTTTTTTTAGAGTACTTTTTAAAATTGTTAGATACTTTACTCGATGAGGTATGCATTTTCAAAAATATTTGTTTCACCAAACATCTACTTTCAAAAAAAAATAAAAAAATTGACACTATTTTTGTAAAGATCGACGGCCCATAATTATACAGGCAATCGACGGCAATCATTGGCCGCAGCTAGTCGTCAATTTCGAGGCTGGCAGGTCGGGAGGGCTGCGGACCGAAGTTTCCTCCTGGGCCAAAGTCAGATCTCTCGTCTCGTTTGCAAAGCTGCTTGCGTCGTCTCATTTGCAACGCTGCTTGTATCGTCTCATTTGCAAAGCTGCTTGTGTCGTCTCATTTACAACGCTACTTGTATCGTCTCATTTGCAAAGCTGCTTGTGTCGACTCATTTGCAACGCTGCTTATATCGTCTCATTTGCTTCAACTCGTAGTGCCCGCAACTCCTCGCTGGCTAGTTGCTGCACATTGGTGTCGGTGAACATTGCTTCCGCTGGCGTTGATAAGGTTCGATGCCGGTTGTAGGGTTTAGGGTTGCTGGTCCGACACGATCAGCGCTTGTTCGAGAGTAGATATACAGATTATCTGTTTGGGGTTTGGGGAATTGTGCTACAAGGACCGGACCCTCATTGTTAGATGCCCATTGAATTGAACTCATTGAATGGGGGGCGTGGATGAGAGCTTGGCGAAGCGGAAACATAGCGTGGGAGAGGAGATACGAGAAGTGGAACAGCGCGTACGAGGAGTAGAGGAGGAGATAAGAGAATTGGTACAGAAGATTGGAAGAGTGGAGGAGGACATAACAAAATTGGAACAGAAAATTGAAAAAGTGGAGGAACAGATCAATACGTGCTCTGACTTTCAAGAGAAGACGCAACTTCGGAGCAAAGAAGACCGACTTCAAGATGAGAAAGCGCGTCTTCTAGGCGAGAAAGCGCAACTCCGGAGCAAGGAAGAAAACATTGCTTAATAATATAATTTCATCACATCACATCACATCACAGTTTTGTTAAACGAGAGTTTGACTTTATAAAATGCTAAGTATACCTGAAGCTAAGCCAAGAATTGCATCTTCTTCCTGTACATGCACACCATTGGACCCCGACAAACTGTCACTGAGCGCTGGATCAGCTCCTCCATGATTGCCTGGACATGTAACACCAACTGCTCCATGGCCACACCATCACATGATGGCTCTTGACCGCCACCAAATTCCACCATGCTAGTTCCCGCAGACGTCTCTGTCATTTGACAAACAGACGCAGCATCCGAACCTTGTGGACTCGCATTTTTAACAGATGAAGCATCCGAACCTTCATTGCCTTGAGAAAGTGAAGATGATGACTCTGGAGTGCTCACTTTCTGGTCTTCTTCTGTGGCATCCGGCACCTCCATTTGCAGTAGTTTGTGTGCAGACCAGTCAACACCAAGCTCCTTCTTCATGAGTCGTGAGGAGAAGTGGGTCTTTTTGGGGGCCTGGTCTGAGATGTAATCGTCATAATATTTGACCTTGGTGTTGACGTTCACTTCCTTTGTGGTGTAGTACTAGGACTGGTTTGGGTTGATTTCAATGTATGAATCTTTGCCAGAGTCTGAGTCACCGCCTTGGCGCGTGTTGTGAACCCATGGTCTGGTTTATGTCCAGAGCTCCACCCATGCCCAGCCTTTTTGCGGATGGTTTGCGTCACAGTCTGTGAAAGAAGAGCTATGGTTTGGGGTAGTCTCCTTCAGCTGCAACATGAGTAAATTAAATCGCATGCGTGTCTATTGGAGATAAACTCATTACGTATGCATAACAACTGCCAAAATAATGAATTTATCTGTTCCTAGAATATTCATACCTGTTGATGAGATGCGCCGTAGTTCGAACTTTTACCTTTGCTTGCTTCTCTATACTTCCTACAATCTTCACCTTGTCCTGCAATTCAGCACTGCGTGCATTGTAAACAGATAACAAAAAACTGAAAGTCTGAATCTTACGACAAGGAGTTATTTTACTCATAAATTTAGCAGTCTAGGATTCACCCCCCTAAACATGAATATGCAGTGTATGCCATCACTCAAAGACTCAATCCGGCAAGCACAACGCTGCCAAAGTAATGAATATCTCTATTTGCAGTCACTGTAAGGAAGAGGGTCATGACTTTGGCAGCGTTGTGCTTGCAAGAATGAGGACGTTATGAGCCTTGAAACGCTCTGCATGTTCATGTTTGAGAAAGTGAGAGACCTTCCCAAACTACAAGAAACTGCCTGTACAGTCATTTATCCCGGACGTGACTAGGATTTTGTTGGAGTATAAATGTTGTGAGATGTCAACAACCTCACCACATCTAGAGACTTAGCAAAAGTAGTAGTACTACTCATCTCCAGATTATGACAGATGTTTTAATTAGTGTACCTCATTATGCACCACACCATTAGAGCTGTGCCTTGGAGCTAGACTTGATGTTCTGCAGCTTCTTACAGCTCTCAAGGCCACCTTTGAAGCACATTCTCACAGGCCGTCCTCGAAACACAGCTTGCACACGAACTATGGCTTCCATGGTTCGCAACGTTTTGGCGGCTTGTCTGCGGACCAGATGTCCTCGCACCAAAGCCTGAAGCCTCACCAACCCTTTCAAAGCCTGCAAACAGTCAATCCACCAAACATCAAGTCTACGAACACTCAAAGGCTTAATTCGGCAAGCACAGCGCTGCCAAAGTAATGAATATCGACATTGCAGTCGCTTCTGCAAGGAAGACAGTCATGACTTTGGCAGCGTAGTGCTTGCAAGAATGAGGTTATGAGCCTTGAAACGCTCTGCATATTCATGTTTGAGAGTCTTACCAGGGTGAGGTTTTAACTTACCAGGGGGATGGTAAGAAAGCGTTGCTGGATCGTGGTGGCTGCTGCTTCCTGTTCTTCTACTTCTTCTTGTTCGCTGGCATCTTCTTCGTGTTCTAGTACCTGTTTTTCTTCTCTTTTGGGAGATTGTGGTTGTAGGACTTTCGGTGGCTGCCCTTGGACCAGCTTGTGGCTGATGATTTCGAACAGTGACAGCGGATGAGCCTGTGGTGGAAAGTCATGCTTGGTGAGGAGCTGCTGCTTCTCATCACCCTGATCAGCCTTCTGTTTGAAAAAAGTGAGAATGTGAGAAGATGAGATCGCTAGACTGATGAAGTTTACAGTGTATTTATAAGTGATTACTGGAGATTGATCAGGAGTGGCCTCTCCTTGGAAGGCGAGCGGAAGGCCTTCTTCACAGCTTTGAACCATTTGGTGGGCTTCACCATCGCAGTACTCGACCTCAACCAAGTGCAGCCACTATTAAAAGCCTAGATAGTACACAGAAACAGTTGCATAATATGTAGTACGTCCAGACTCGTTGCTCTTCTGACTAGAAACGAAGTAGTCCTCTTCAGTTACAACTCGTTGGGTCATGTTTTCACGCTTTATGGACTCAGATCTACTAGAAATAGGACTTGTGAGCGCGAAGGTTAAGATGCATAGCTAGACACAGAAGATGTTACTCATGCTGTGTGTTTACTCAACAGTGTGGAAGGTCCAGAACAGGCAGAAGTTTACATTTAACTCGGACCCGGTTGATAACTTGTGTGCAGCAGCAGATTGTCATTCGTCGCTCCTGCGTCAGAACGCCTCCAACATCAGAAAAACTCAAGATCTACTCATACATTACTAGATCAGAGATGATAATGGGCCAGATCTGTAGCAAGTGACGTCCTCTAACATTTTCGAAGCTTTCGTTGCAGGAACGTTACAGTGCAACCCGTCTGCAGCTACTTCTGCTGTAATCTCCTCTTGAAACCTACCAAACATGACGTCTTCAAAACCAAGTTGAGAAACTAATTGATAATAACCTGCTAAAAACCACACTACTTCTATGACTCTTCCTGTTCCAGATTCAGAGGACCGCTAGCTCCGGCTATAAACACTAGAATGCGTAGTACTTACCATGCACTGTGATGTGAAACCATCTCGAAGAATCAATACCATTCCATGCACCTCATCTATTCCTCCCCTGAATAATATTTCAGATCAACATGAAAAAACCAACTTGCCTGATCGTCAAACAGGTGAAAAGATCATCTAGGAACTCAAAGGGAGAGGTCAGAAACCACTTTCACTGGACAAGAACCTGATCGCTACAAGCTGTGTGTTCACTCCACTTAACCTTGAGAAATGCAACAATGGAGGATATCACCATATTCTCTCATGTTGAAGTGGTGACTACAGTTACTAGGGAAGAAGAGTGGGTGACGTTGTGGGCAGACTCCATGGCTGCAATTGACACAAGTACTACGTCGGGACTAGTAGCTCACACCCTTTAAACTTCAGGGAAATGGATTCACAACAGTAGTAGTGCTCTCACTTCAGGAGCAATAAGCATGGTGATTATGGTGCTGTAATTTGGGTACACGTGTCTATCACGGGCTTCCAGATCATTAGTACGGTGGGCGATACGTAGAAACAGGGAGACCCTAGTTGTGTGTCACTCAAAGCTCTACCAGTGCAGATATTCACAATTTTAGTTTCATTTTGTGAAACTAGACTTGGTTAATACCATCTTGAGGCGCTTTACGATTTGTACATTGGATACTTATCAATCGTCCTATCATCTATGGTATTTTGAAATCATGCCAAGAAGATAAAATTCTTAGTTTACAAGGTCTTCCTGTGAAATGAACTCTTAAAACGTAAATGTCAGTTGGGAACCGTATACACAGGCACTTAATACACTTTGCAATGTAAAAATTCTAATAGAATGTATTTAAGTATAGCAAAGCATACACCTTTGAGTTTAAGATTCTTCAACTTTATATCTTTCATTTGAAAATCATTTCAATATCTAAACGATATCAGATACGACATCATGCATGTAGAATATTGAGGCCATTACCGGCACCTTCTAAAATTTAAGGGTTTATAAACATCAGAAATAAACCCCTAGTGGCCACACTATTCTACATGAATGGTGTCATATTTGAACATGATAAGGTTGAGATATTGAAATGACCCCAAATGAAAGATGTTAGTTGAAGAATCTTCAATCCAAAGATGTCTGTCATGCTAAAAAAATTGTATTCTACAAAGTAAAATACATGCATGTATATATGGTTCCCAACTGACATTTTTGGGTTAAGCAATATTAAGACAATCCCCCTTTCCTTTTCATTTCAGGGAAGTAATAGGGAGTATGTTTTCTGTCCGGTCTGTATGTACGTTTGCCTCTGCAGTAGGGGCATGTGAGGTATACACTAAATTGCCATCATCTCCAGCTGGTGATGTTGTGCAGATGGGGCATGTGAGTCTGCCTGCAAAGCAAGTAGTTTTTTCAGTCATGGCAGTGTCCATCATGATTGTCTGCTTGTTTGTTGCACAATGTGAATGGACAGGTGTCTTGCGCCACTCCTTTACAAGCAAATCATTTCACTCACTTACCACACATTCAGGCTATCAATGAGCTTGTTTGTCATGCAATACACTAACTATGGTATTTAGTGTTGACAACACTATGGACCACTTCACAATATGACCAAAGGTGAAGAGGCTGTCAAATTCCACGAATTACATTACTAACTTAGTCCTTTACACTAAGTTGATGTCCAAAATCCATCACCCTGCATTGTGTTATTGCCATCACTTTTGGCTAAAGCCCCATGTGCAAAACTTGGGTCGTTTGATGCTATTTTTGTCAACCCAAACTTCCTTTAATTCAAACTCTTGAAGGAAGTTTGGGTTGGTTAAAATAGCATCAAGTAGCATCAAATAGCATTTTTTAATTGTCTCAAGTACAACTTTGATCTTAAATGTATGGCTACTTTTTGGTGGCTTTTTACAGAGAAACAACCTAAAAGCGACTACCGTTCACTTCTATATCCTTTTTATATTTAGGCAAGAGATATAGTTTGTTCTTAAATAACATGATGGCAAGGTTTTGGGATGTTGCTTGAAGCCGCCAACTAGCTATTAGTCCATGAATTGTGTAGAAGGTTCTTTTCATTCAAAATTATTTTATTTTTCAATTATTTTTTGGAAGACAAGACAAGTTGCTGATGGTAATTACAAAAAAGTGTGATGATTTTTTATGACCTGAGTTTACATTCCTAAGAAATATCCGGTTGGTATGTTGTACATCTCAAAGTTAATGTCGGGCCCTTTGGACACCCATAAAGACGTGTGGGATAAAGACCAGGTCATGTGCTGTAAATAATGTCGACAGCTCAATCGCCTGCAAGATTGTACAATTCATGTCCATTAATTCTAAATGCCAACTAACGTCAGGCCTTCTAGACACCCATAAAGATGTATCGAGTAAAGACCAAGTCATGTGAAGTAAATAATGTCGAAAGCTCAATCACTTACAAGATTATAAAAATCATGTCTATTAACTCCAAAGGACAATTGTACTAGCTACTCCAACTGATATTACATGGTTGTATTTAGGGAATACTAGTGAATTTACCTTTGTGCAGGTCATATTTAGTAAACACATTGTCGCTCATAAATTTGGGTAAAGTATATAGTGAAAAGAACTATTGGACGTTTTTGAAACTCATGGGCTCATGAGCAAATAAATATCTTACAACTTGGAGAACTACAAATGAGCAACCTCGGCGTATGAGTAATTGTAGTTAAAAAGATTCCAATATGCTATTGATTACTTCTTAAAAGATGTAAATATCGAATGTTGAGGGTTGTAGAACTTCGAGAAAAACCACCATGGGGATTAACAAGAGACAAGAGTGGCCTATAATCTCTCCAATGTCTTACCATATGTTGATTTTGAATTTGACAAGTATTCAATGAGTTGAATGAATTCTAGATTTTGAATAAAAACTAATCATATAAAGTAGTTATATATCATTGAATGGTGGTGTCACTTGGGAAAATAACATCCTAAAACAATAAATGCTTTCAATCTATTAGTTCCAAAAATTAGATAGTCCTGCCACCTTAACCTTCAATCAAATTCTAAGTGAATAAGTAATTATTTAATGACTTCATTTGAATAATAGAATTAGATTAATTAGAAAAATGAGTACTTTCATTTTTATTAAAAAATTCTATGAAATTGTAGTGTAAATGTGAGAATAACGGGAGGTGGATGAATGAAGTACCATTGTAGCATTGAACCAAAATTTTTATGTCTGAGCTAGAGACCTAAAACTTGTCATTAACAAGAAGGATGGTACTTGGATCATGCAATAGTTTTGATGGGGATTCTTGTCATTCATCGATCACTATATATTCAAAATTTGTAAAGATCCACATTGTTTGATGAAAAAGTATTTTTTTCCTAGGAAATAAGTGGGAATTGATTCGAGTCTTCTTCAATTGGTTTGGCACTTGGCCTTTGGACATGGCCTTTGAGGCTTCACACTGTGACCATTTGAAGGCTTCAAATTGTATATTTTACTATATTTTTTCAATCCAAGACTCTTGCCTTGGTTTGGACTGAAATTTTAACGAGCGATAATAGTGCAAAGCAGCCTTAAATATGAACAAAAATATTGGATGTCAACAAAGGTCCAAAGACCTAAATGAGGCTTACACTAGATGTAAATCTAACACTACAATAAATGGGGTTATTTTGACACTCTAAATTCAACGATTTTTGTGAAGTGGCAAAATTAGTATGAAAGTGTCAAAGGATGTTAAAAATTGCCTCATTTGTACTTCGCTACAGTAATATTTATTGTTAACCACACTAGTTGATTACTAAATGCTATCACTCTCCATGAATATATTTTTACCATCTGTGGAGTCACTGGAGTGTGGTGGCCATAAAATAAACTAATGTATGAATGATGTTTTGGATAATCTATTGTGCTTGTAGATTCGCCCAGACCTCGTGAGCTCGTATGCCTTAAAGGATTAAGTGGGTGCCTGGACTAAAACAGCCCCAAAATGAAATCAGATCAAAATTAATTTGATACTAAGGTGATGAAACTTGCAATATTGTTGAAGAAAGTTGTTACAAGCTGTCCGGGCTTGTGAAGCAAATTGTACCATAAAATGAAGTCTGAGAAGGCTCTGTCAATCTTAATAAATTGACACAGCCCAACAAATCAAGTTTTTGGCGGGGTATGGCATGAATCATGTTGTGAAGGAAAGAGGTTAGGCAAAGTGAAAAGCACGGTCAGATTGAATGTACAGTACAGACATGTGACTCGTAACAGTGAACCAGAGTTTGTACACCACAAATGCATCATGGTGCTAGCCACGATTGTGCGCTGGACAATGTACAATTGTTTTCACTTACAGGAAAAATCAAATAATTTGTACTGAAGGTGTGGTCAGTTTCTTACATACTGTACAATGGAGAACATCCTAAATGTTTGGAGAATTCTAGAGGTTTGTCTAGGTGATATCCATTATGTCCAAATGCCCGTAGAAGGAAAAAATAGTTATTTTAGCGGTTGATTGTCAAAAGTCACCTGGACATATGGTATGTGGTTTTGTACCTCTAAATAAGAGAACTTAATTAAGGTAGACCTCCCTCCTGATAACCAACAAATTAAACAATGTGCATATATGGAGAAAAATAATAATACATTTATTTCTGAGTAATAGTCAATAGTTTTATAATTTTAACAAGTGATTTTAACAAAATATGAATTTTCAAAGCATGTAGCCATGTTTTGTTAGCCAATATCTAACCCCCATAAGTGCCGACCAAAAGTAAGGGGTCCTGACTAACAAAAACCTTCATTTGGATGGGGAAACTGGTGGTAAGGGGATGAAAGTCAGTTTGGATGTACCCCAATTTTGTAGAGAGGCACGTAGGCCCACTTTGGACTAGAGACTGGATGATATTGAATCTACAGAATTCAAGAGTTTGCACATCATCATCTATGCCAGTATTACATTCAGCATTCCACTGGTTGCTGGTCTCGAAGTGGGTCCTGCAAAGGAGTGCAGGCATTGTCACATGCTGTTTGCGCATGCCTGTGTTCTGGTGACATTTCTGTCACTCCTGAGTCCTCACTCAAACAGTGTGCCACTTCACTCATAGAGAGTGAGGAAATGCTAGCCAACTTCACTCATAGAGAGTGCAAAAATGTTAGCCACCTTTTTCCTAGTTCTTTCTGACCAAGTTGACTCATCCTGTCACAATAAGGTACGGTAATCCCCCAAATAACAGACAAGTTAACCCCTGAAGGGCCCAGGGGATGTGTGGCTTCTAGGCTAAGCTAAGTGAGAGGGGAGATACGGAAAATGCAATGCAATGCAAAAGTAAGAGTGGCTTCCCCTCTCACTTTTGCATCGCATCGTATTTGCATGTTTGGCTTATTATTTTTTGAAATCTTTTTCTGGGTGTTGAGTGGTGCAATGAAGTCCTAATTGTCAAATTTGGGAAAAATAATGTGACCTCATATGTGAACAAGGGATTGATTTAAAGGCTCTTTTTGGTGTATTCATCTCATGGCTACATACTTCCAAGAAATCATATGTCATGTGCACTACAAAATCTGCCATAAATAGATACAGTGGATTTCCTATAAATAGCTGAAACAAATCTGCCATAAATAGCTAGTACCATATGGATTTGGGTCACGTATGATGCCGTTGGCCCATTTGGCCAAAGATCATGCTCGACTTCGTACACAGTTTGATTTTATATTTAATTTTTTGCATTGGGCTTTGTGTCTTTTTCAAATCTACCTTGATTTTGCATCAACTAATTGTACTTCTCCTTAAAGTCTATCATTTTCGTTTCCCGTTCTCTTTGTAGATTGTGTTGTCAAAAAATGGACCCCCCCCCAAACTTAAAAAAATTCCTATAATTCATCACCTTGATTTTTTGATGAAGTGTTTCTTTACTTGTATTTTAGCACTTCATGACTTTTAGAATTCACATGTTTTGTGAAATTTAGCCATGTTTTGCATCCATTGTGGCTTGAAATGCTCATATTATAGTCCATTTTCCGACGTTTTTGGCAAGTCTTTGGTTATATTCGGTATTTTGTAAAAATACCAAAACACATTAAATAATTTTGACACTAAAATTAAGGCGATGAAGTGTTTTTTGATGAAATGTTTGCTTGCATGCCAAACCACCTTCATTGGCAAAAGAATTTGAACTCCAAATTCTTCTTTTTTCCAACTTCTTCCCCAATTCTCACCAAAGCAGACCAAACCCACTCCAAACTTTCTAGTTTTCAAGAAATGCCTTAGGTACCTCCCATAAGCGCTCACCAAAATTATGGGATCTTGACTATTAACAAACCTCCGTTTGGAACTGAATGGGTGGTGATGGGATGAAAGTGGTTGGGATGGAAGTGGATACACCTCAATTTGTTGATTATGAATAATGGTTGATGGGTAGGGAGGTTTTCTGAAGGATGGATCAAAATTTGTTGACCAGTAGAAATTCAGGGCGTATCCGGAACGTACTTGGCGAATGGTTTCCGGATCTGGTGGAATATGTAAATGTTCACATTATCCCAAGAAAGCCTCACCGATACGAAGCCTCTTTTCCACACCCGGAGCCAGTTTTGCAGCTCGAGCGACCGCTCTGGTGCAAGGTTTTGTACTGTTCATGGTGGTAGTTCTATCCATGTACCTGAGAAGCTGGAACCAGACTGCAAGAAAAAAGAATCCCATGAGTTAAAGGCTAATAGGTAGAGTAAGTCACCCAAGCTTTCAATAAGATATCCCCTCTTTAGACCACTCTTTCTCACTATTTAGAAGAGCTCGGTGGTCTCATCCAGTCAATGGCAGAGCTTGGTGCTCACTAAAACTTCTCTAGAGGTGATTTGAATATGGAAAAAGAAGATGTATCGTGTTTAAACTCTACTTTCTGACTACAATTAAATCTAGTATTTTGATGTGGAATATGTCGGTTCAAGCAGTTACTCTACATTATTGTAGGATGGGCTTGAGAGGCCCAGGTGGTCTCCAGTGCTTCGTTCATCTCTTCGTCGAAAAGACAGCAGAAGCATGAAGCAGAGACGCCATCACCAACACCAGTCACCACACTACTCGAGCGAGCTGACATGACTGCATCGGCAAAGCAAAAATGTCAGCAAAACAGCACTCTAAACGAAGAAACGAGCTCCATCCGATTAAAGCACTATAAGAATCTAGGGCTAAAGTGAAACGAAGTGAGCGCCTTGCAAGAGCTGCATTAGAAGGATGCTGCAAAACTACTAGTTCGCCAATCAACCAAGCCCAGTCTTCCTCTCCCAACATTCCACTAAGCCAATTAATATACTAATCAACCACAACAGAAACAAGACAGTACTCAAGATCTCATGAGGAGCTAGAAACACTTAACCGTCACAGTCGATGACCAAAATACAGACAGTTCACCATATTCGAGCTTCAGGACCTTCATCTGTAAATCGCTCCAGGGTGAGCATTGAACTTGAGCAAGACGCGAGAGGCGTGTGTGAGCAGTCGACACTGTAGAGATTGGACGTTATTGGGAATCATTTGCAGTGGAAGAAGAATTAGGGTATAAGATCTACTACACTCTACAGCCAATATACCACATACTGAATTCTGAATCAAATGCACAGAGAAAGAATTACACGATGTACACACTACACATACAATCTACCGATACACTAAATCCTTAACCCTAAATGTACAGAGGCAGAATCAGGGCATACACCCACACTCTAATCCATTCTGAGCTGCGTCCCGACCACCACACCTCCCACCACAGACCCAAGGAGCAATCCCGGCATGAGCACCCCCCCAGCACGATACATAGGCCCCACAACGGGCAACCGCTTGGCACACAAGTCGGTAACCAGGACCGCCAGGGTTCCCAGGGGAACATAAACCACCAGCCGGTGCCGCGCCGTCGCCAAGCCCATATCCCGGAACAGCACGAGAGCGAACGCCCTGAACTCGTCAATCGCCACCGTCCTCCTCAACCGCTCCTTCCTCACGGTGGCGTCCACCTGCGCCTGGGTCGGGCGGTGCGGCAGCCACCGCTGCTTGTACCTTGCAACTTCATCCTCCTCGGGGAGGGGGATCTTGTCGTAGACGCGGCGCGAGGCGTCCAGGAGCTGGTAGAGTTGTAGCCCGGGGAAGGCGTGTTGCGAGAGCGCCATGCATTCCTCGAAGCTGGCGTCCACGGCCGCGTGGAAGGAGAGGGATGTGGAGAGTGTCTCCTCGACTCGCTTCGACGGCGACTGCCCCATGCAGGAACCCTAAACCTTCAATCCTAAACCCTGAATTTAGGCCGCGATCCGTCACAATCTCTTAGGAATTTGCGTCGTGTGAGGTCTGAGATTGTGGACAGGTACGGGAAAGGCGTTGAAATCAAGGTGAAAAACAGAAAACCACCCACTGACATAAGACTTTTATGCTTCAGGGTGTCTTTGTAGAATGGAAAAATACATCTTAGGGTTTAGGGTTTAGGGTTTAAGATTTTAGAAAGAAAAAAGTGACGGATAGACTGGCATGTAGGCTATTATAACATCACTTGTAAATTTATTGCAAACATGTTCTTTAATATCTACAAAGTATACAGAAGTTGGTGCTATAAGGCTAACGGGTTGTTTTGGATCATTCTACCTTAATGAAGCCATTTCAAACTATTTTAAATGTCTACCATAATTATTTTCAGTTTCTTTTCCCCAGAAATAAATCATTGGCAGTGCTTGGAATTTCATTAAAGTTCCCTAAAAAACCCCTTTTATCTCTATCCGTAACAAGGATGACTTTGATTGTCATACCCGTTGGATAGTAAATGGGACTATAGGAGAAGGCGAACCATTTCTGAGCCATTTTAAGTTATTTTATTTGAATTATGTCAATAACTCATGTTAATTCTTATTGATACAACAAATGATAGCAACAACTCATGTGTTGTTGATATTACTTTGACCAACAAGGGTGACGATCTTGCCACAGTGTCACGGTACTGTAGCATGTTTCCCCGAACTATCTCAAGTGGATAAAGCAGAGACCTCCAAAAAACGATTCCACTTCACTACAACGGGTTTCATTTCATAAAACCGACTCGGAATACTCCATCAACAGCTTGAATGAGGTCAATCAAACGCCTTAAGCCTCAATCTTCTCCTTCTTCCTCCGACTAGTAAGTTACTATCATCTGTAGGAATGTCACTACAGTAGTCGTCGTCTTATCTTCGTCGTCTCCGATTAAACACTTCACTCAATTCACGAAAGAAAGCTGTCTTGACACTGCATTTGCTCACTTTTCCACTTTTGTTGTAGTTGGGATCAGCTTCTTCGAAGCGCTTCGACCTTCTGCGCTCTCCTCGCACCAGGTTCACCTATCTCTCACGTCTCTCTTCTCTGTTTTGTGCGCGCTTAAATTGCAACTTCCGTATTTGTTTGCGGTGTTTTTACTTGATTTTGTAGCGGGAGACGCCGCTTGTGTGAAATCCTTGTCAGCTACCTTTCACTTCTCTCGCTTCTCTTTTTTGTGCGAGATTGTGCAATTTCCGTATTATTTCTTTGCGACGTTTTTAATTTATTTTGTAGCGGATTGTGTGAAATCCTTGTTGCTTTCTTGGTGTGCAGTTTCTTGACAGGGAGGAAGAAGAGTGAGATTTTTCTTAGTTTGGATTGAAGAGGATTCTAGAGGTTGAGTGCGAATTAGTGCTGCGCTGAATCTTGTTTTTGAGGATGTGATAAACCTCGAAAAGACTCGTCGAAGTGGCGAGCCTTTTAACTATTAGCTGACTTTAATTATGGCGATGGCGTCGGCGTTATCGTGGGCGGCACCGGCGGCCCGGCTCAACCTTTCAATGGCGCAGCGAGGTTTTTTTAATGAATTTCTTATCCAGAAGTCTTTATGTAGTGGAAGAAGCTGTCCGCAGGTAGTCCGTTAGCGGTGGAATGTGGAGCAGGAGATTAGGTTTTCAGTCGCTGGGAGAGAAGTTGTCGTTCTGGGTTGCGGCGAATAAAAACTTGAACGCGGAGTCTTTCGACACCGCGGAAGGTGAGGTTGCTTCGTTTCCGTTTCGGGTGCGGGGAGTGGACGGAGGAGAAGTCAGGCGTGTGATTGGCAGGGATAAGGAAGGCTCGGATAGCGACGACGGCGACGACGACGACGACGACGAAGAGGATGGGATTTATTACGATGAAGTAGTCGAAGAAGAAGAGGATGGATTTGACGACGAGTTGAGAGATAATGAGGAAGATGTGGAAGCAGCAGGTGTGGTGGACCTGGTTACTTCGGAAGGAAAGAGTGAAAAGAATAGAGAGAGATTGCAGGAGCTCTGTGCTCGGGTGCTGGCTACTGGTGAACGTACAGTGACGGCTAGTGACATTGCTGGTCTGTTTGATTTTCCATTCGACAAGTTCCAGGTCAGTTGCAAATTGCGTGGGAGACGTATTAGGGTTCAGTGAATTAATAGTTAATTTTCCTATCCTGCGGAGTTTACACTGAATATGGAAGAGAATGTCTGCAGAGGGTTTCCGTCGAGGGGTTTTTGAAAGGCTCTTCACTCGTCGTGTGTGCACCAATTAGCAGTGGGAATTTCCGATTCTGGTCCCATTCTACGTACATGGATTTATTGGCTTTCTGTTCTTTTTGTCTGTCCTTACGATAATGAAATATTTTTCTGTTTCTGCAGGAGACTGAACCTGAGGATGACTGAGCGAGAGAGAGAGCCTGATCCATTCTGGGATGAAATGTCAGAGTCACCTAGAAGAAAACAGCGAAAAACTCTTAGAGCTGGCAAAAGTTCCAAAGAGTCTGGCAACCGTAGTGAAAGTCGGCGTCGGTCGGGTGGTGGATGGGGTGAAATGGAAGAGCAGATGTCCGACGAGGAGGTTCAGTTTCTTCGGCGCCGACAGGTATAACACTCCCTTTCAAGTCCTTGGTGTTTTCAAATTACACCTTCGATAGCATTTCGTGTTCAGGATTGCAAAAGTGGCTAGATCTAATCTCATCAATGCTGGAATAACGCAAATTGTTATTGTAGCCACGTTTTGAAGTATCTCTTGAAGAACGAGAATCTTCTCAAGTCAATAGCTGTAAAGGTTGTGGTCACCATGCATACTGGTATATTTAGGAATTAAAAGTATATATGTACTAGTCTATAACGGTCCCTTCCTACACTGACTTACATCTATGCATTCTGTTACCAGTATTTAGAACTGATTATTGCAATGGTATGCATCCCTCAAATGTGCAGATTCCACAAATTAGAGATACATTGCATCAAATGAAAGAGCGAGACATGCTTCCAGCTATTTGGTTCATTTTCAGTCGCAGGGGCTGTGACCTTGCTGTACACTATCTTTTGGTATTGTTCATAATTTCCTGTTTAACCGTATCATCATCATAAATGTGCGTTGCAGAGACGAGTCCTGGCTTTCTAAATTGCATCTAGTTGTGTCTGAAAGTTTTGCGAAGTGGATACCTTGAATTCTGTTTTTTCGTTTTCAACTTCCCAAGACATTGTTGTGTTGTGTATTGGCAGGGAACTGACTTGTTGACACTTGAGGAGCAGAAACGAGTAAAAAGTGCTCTTGCAGATTTTCGAGAACAGCACCCAGATTCAGTACGTGAAGTGGCAGTGAAACCACTTCTGCATGGAGTGGCTGCGCATCACGCTGGTTGCTTACCAACGTGGAAGGCCTTCATTGAAGACCTTTTCCTGCAAGGTCTCATTAAAGTAGTCTTCGCAACCGAAACTCTTGCAGCAGGAATCAACATGCCTGCCAGGTATGCATGTGTTCGCCTATTGCCACCGCCTGAAATTCTTGTCCGCAGAATTTTCAATGTTTCTGTATTTATTCCCTTTATTCTTTGTGTTCTGAAATAAAAAAAATGTAGGATATAGTAGTGCAGCCTTTAAATTGATGGCACGCCTGATGTCAATTTCAGGACGACGGTGCTGGCATCACTCAGCAAACGTGGCGATAATGGACACCAACTCTTAAGTGCAAATTCAATGCTGCAAATGGCTGGCAGAGCAGGTCGGCGAGGTATTGACGACCAAGGACACACAGTAGTGGTGCAGACACCATTCGAAGGTGCAGAAGACTGTTGCAAATTACTCTTTGCAGAATCTGACCCCCTCGTCTCACAGTTCACGGCCACCTATGGCATGGCTCTCAATGTCTTGGCGATAAGTGGATTCCTCTAACTGTCTTGCTGTGTTGCTCTCCTTACACAATCACGAGTATCTTTCTACATAATTCAAACACACTGATGGGATTTTTCTGCTCTAGGATTCATGAATGAAATGGTTTGCAGGGAGAAAGAATAAAAACCGCGCCAGAATCTGGTGAAAGCGAAATGATAAGGGTGGGAAGAATTCTAGATGAAGCCCGGGCACTCATTGAAAAGAGTTTCGGTAACTATGTGGGCAGTGAAGTGATGGTTGCCTCTAAGCAGGCATAGGCTCGGTTGGAGAAAGAGATCGAGTTCTTAGAAAAAGAATGTGCAAAAGACGATGGATTAGAAGGTCGCCTCACGCGAGGAGAGTTACAGGAATTTCTTCACCTTAGAGAGAGTGCAAAGGTTAGCCATATCCGCTCTGAATTATAGTCATCGGTTTCTTCTTGTAACTTTAGTTCCCAAGTCTTACGAGGAGGTTGTAATACGTTGGCAGGAGGCGAAGCGGTTGGTGCGAGAGCAGAGAAAGGTAGTTGAAAGCCTGCGAGTTGCAATGGTACAACCCCTGCTTGATGCGCCTACTAACGGAAAACCACCCTTCGTCTGCTTATCCTACTATGAGCACCGCACTGGCGAGGAGCGCCTTGTCCTTGCCTTGTTCGCGGGATATGTTCCACGCCCCACATTCGTCTCCGACTTGATCAATGTAAGTTTCCCCTCTTTATTTCATGCCTGGCCCGAATCGTTCATAGAAGCAATCATTTCTGTAAGTTTTCTTGCGGATATGTTTCTGGTTGTCTAACTCGTCGCCTGCATTTTAAGAATTTTCGTGAGAAAAGAAGAAGCTTGGAATCAGTACATGTGTGTCTCAAGGTCATGAGCTTCTTGGTTTATTTGGCAGTTGGCAGGCGAAAAAGGCGAGGTTTTAGAGTTCGACAACAGCCAGGATGATTAGTCGGCAGAGGAAGATGAGGTTAATTCCGATGTTCGGCATTACGTGGCTTTAGGGTCAGACAATTCCTGGTATATGTTTACTGCTAAGAGTGTCAAAAGCGTGCACACAAATTTGGCAAACTTTGGGGCGTCAGGGCCAGGTGAGAAGCCCGTCGAAGAATTGTTGAAGAAAAAACTCCAAATAGGGATTCGGAAGTGGGGAAACCTCGGTCGCTCAGGGTCTGGTGCCCTCAGTTGCGTTTGGTCTGCTGAGAGCTCCCATCGACACGTGGGCTTGGGGATGTCCAGTGCCCGTTTTGAGTGAACTCTCTTGTGCTTATGAGGTATGCAATCTTATAATTCCTTTTGCTAAGCAGGACAAGTTGATTGACATCTTGAAGCTATTTCCGTACTTTGTTGTCGTCATATCTAAGACGAGGGCCAACTTGATGTATTGGTTTGGATTCATCTGAAGAGGAGTTGCTTTCTTATGCAAATAATGATTGCTACTTGATCTTGGAACACTTGCAGGTTTCTTCGGATCTTGTGGAGGCCGAGCGGGTATTCCTTGATAGACGGAAAGAGGCTTCAAAACTCCGGAAGAAGCTCAAAGGGTCACAAGGTTACCGTGAATCAAAAAAGCTTCTGGATACTCAAAGAGCGCGGTTGGACAAGCTGCAGCGCACGAAAGCTAAAGCGAACCGTATTGCGACGCGTATCAGTAAGGGTGGAAGGAGTTTCTTCAAGTAAGACAAAGTAATTCCTTGAATGTTTTCAATTGTTCATAAACATTGTCTTCTAGATGGCCTGAAGTTCGGCGAGGAAAGCTCCCAGATAAAGCTGGGGCTTTCTACTAGAGAGCGTTCTCATGTTGTATATTTCTGTTCGGTGGGATCGGATAGGTTGTGAACGTGTTGCAGGAAACGGGAGCTTTGAAACCCGAAACGAACGAGCTTCAGCCTCTTGGCGAAGTTGCTGCAGCAGCGCGGGGAGTCAATGAGCTTTGGTTGGCCATTGTTTTCACTAGTGGCATTCTTAACTCTCTTGCTCCCGCTCAGCTTGCAGCTGCCTGTGCTTGTCTAGTCTCAGATGGCATGAAATCACGCTCTAAAGAAGGCCCAGCTAGGTATCCAACGATCTTCGCCCTTGACCCCGGAGTCTCTATTTAATGTGATCGCTTCTTGGTTTCGCTTTTGCTTAGTGGAGTGATAATAAAAACACATGGCCTCCAGGCATTAATTACAGTGTTTGAATCATAAGAATGTCCTTTGGATCATCACGAGAGGTAATCTGGAAGCGGCATGCGAGCATATTTACATGACACTTTGCATAAAACTGATAAGCTAATTTGGTGTAGCAGCTCTATTTATGACGCATCCAATGCGGTGAACGAATGGGTGGAGGCTCTGGAAGACACGCGTTCGGAGCTTCTCCGCTTGCAAACTAAAAACGGAGTTGCTGTGAGTGTTACTCTGTTGTGCTCAATGTTGTCACGCTTACGGGGTTTTAACTTCTAAGTACTCTTCTGTTAACACAATCAGCATATCATCTATCACAGATTAGGGGTTGGCAAAAAAATCACCCTGGAAACGGTATATAGTGGATAATCTGGTCTTGTGTTTAGATTAAGGAACGTTCTTACAGAACAGCAGATTTTTTAGTTCCAGTACTGGATTTTTGGATCAACGTTTTTCTAACTTTTGAATTTCCTGGCAGATTCCTGTTGAGACCAACGCAGAGTGTGCAGGGCTAGTCGAAGCATGGGCAGCGGGAGTGACGTGGAAGGAACTTATGGATGACAGCGAGATGGACGAGGGAGATGTGGCTCGCCTTCTCCGACGGTCTATTGACCTCCTTGCACAAGTAAAATATTCTTTCTGATATTAGGAATATTTGACTTCGGGAGCCTTTCTCTTTGCTAGATATTCTGCTGCCAGCTTATTTTCGCTTCTGACTGCGATTATGGCATCGCATTCATTTGTCTCCAAGCTTCAGATTGTCACGCGCACGAAACTCGTGGTTGTCCTGATTTTAAATTCTATTCTTGCAGACTCCTCATTTGCCCCACATTGATCCAAACCTGGCGAGTACAGCTCGTGAAGCTTCGAAAGTCATGGACCGCCCACCTATCAGTGAGCTTATCGGTTGAAAACATTCGTCGGAAATATCAGCAGGCACCAAAAGTGAAAGTTCTTCAAGATGGAGCTGCTTCTGCGGGTTCTTCGTTGTGCAGGTTTGAAACCGAAGCTCTATCTTTTTAACCTCAAATGTTCTCAGAATGTCAGGGGTTAGTCAATAGTAGGATTACCACCTATTTGACTGTGGTCATTTGTTGTGGGGCAGGGTTCTTCACCAACAGTGTGGACTCCAAGATGTGACAGCACAAGAGGTTCGTATGTGTAGTAATTGTAGGAGCGAGTAGTCGTCGGCCTCCAGCAATAAAGGGGTTTGTATTTCATACCCTTATTCAGTATCCGACGCTTCTAATTGGAAGCTTCAATACCACCCCGCCCGGATTTTTTGACTTAGTGGTTCTTATTTGAGGACGAGGCAGATTCACTGTGGAATATGCAAACAGAAGGATCAGCAGCTGCTCCATGTCGGCTACTACCAAATCGGGGAGCATCCAATATAATATCAACTCACGGGTATGATATTCCGGACCTTCAATGATTTCCATGATTGCTATCCGCAGAATCCGGAATCGGACTCTAAATTGGTAATGATCAGAGTCGTCACTCGTTAGGATACGTCTGTTTCCCCTGGTTGGTACACCGCATTGGTTGTACATGCGCTCGTCGTGAAAGCTCCAGTTTGGTGACGCCCCTGACTTGCCAGGAAGTTCGTCCCATGTGGAAAATAAGTTGATTTAATTGGGCACTTAGGGGTGAAGGAAACAATGACTATGATTTGGCGTTTCACTGCAAATGTGTGACATTAGACGTCCGGAACAGTCGTAACCCTGATTCTGAGAAGATGCTGCAGAGAACAGCAGCAGCACCCAACTCATGCCAACCGTGCGCCGCAACACTGCAGCACTGCAGCAGAAAGGACGTAGTACGGCCACCTGCTCTCGGCTTTCCACCATCTAATCAACGCAGCAGCAGAAGATCCAATCTCCTACAACCAGCTGGTGAACGTAAGTTACCAAAGAACACTCGACAACCATGTTCCGACAGTTTGGAGTATGCTCCACACTTGTAGTGTACAAGAATATGATAAACCGTAGCTCACTAAGCTAGATGAGAGGGTGGGGTGGGTTCCTGTACATGAGTGGATGTAATAGATGGCTGTTCCACGCTGGGGAAGGTAAGCCACATAGCCGCCATTGGATTAGCTCTGGGGAGGTTACTTCGAAAGGGGGCTGCTGCTGGGTCAGTCCAGACGCGTCCAGCTGCTCCTTGGCAGCTTGAAGCTCCTCCGCCCTTCGGTGCGCCTGCAAGTCCAGCACTTTTTCATCTGCAAACTCATCCAACAACAACTCCACAAATCACTCCACCATTACCGATGTTCTCCCCGATTTGAAAAGTTTATGCAAGACAAGATTGTCCATCTTTCTCATGGGGATTTTCTCCAAATCTGAATCCATCGGGAATATTTCCCGAGTTCAAAGGGTAACTCATCTGTCCAAGTAATGTTTTTCCAGTCTTCAGCTGTCCATTGCTTATATTTGCGAGCAAAAGGCAATCTACTCTTTCTATGGAGTACATTGAGGTAGGATTTTCTAGAAGCTATACGATTCCCGAATCCAAGAAGATGGATGTACTTGCGGATGGTATGACGATGAAATTGAAATTTTCTTGCAAGTGCGACTAAAGTGAGTTGGCGATCCTGGTTAATGAGTCAACCTAGTTTTCTAAGTGCGCGATGACATAGCTTAGGCGGTCAAGGTTTGGGATTTCCAGTAGTAATGATTCCAAACTTCTTCCATCTTGTCAAGACTGTTGATACAGTAGAACGGGGCATTCCTAATAAGTCGGCAATATCTCCGGATTTGACTCTACCCTCATGCATCTCGACGATTAATGCCCTCTCATGAGCGTTCAACCATCTAGGCATTGCTACCTGTATAGAGTAATAGAAATAAGAGGAAATAACGAAAGCCGTTGAGTCGGAAGAGGAAAAACATGACATAAGAACTGACCTGTTGTTAAAAGTTGGCGCCGGTGTTCCGCTTCGTGGTCCACGGCAGTTGTTTGGGTCGCAAGCAAGCTGGCGACGATCCGAGACTGGGTGCGGTGCGGAAGTCGGTATCATGCATACGAAGTCTGTGTCGGTGCCGTGTCTGCGCCTGTGTCTACGAACAGCGCTGTGTCTACGACCTGCAGGTATCATGAGTTGTCCCGTAAGGTTTGCGAGCAGGCAACATGTGGGCATGGGGGTGTAGGTGGAAGCCGGACAGTTAATGAAGGGAGGGAGAGGCATGGGCGGAATTGGATGGATCGGTGCGGTGGAAGAGACAGTCGTACGCTAGCATTGGCCGGGGAGGCGAGGATTGGAGAACACATGGGGATTAAATTGGGGTTGTCGACCAGCGCCGCTCGAAGCACCAATGGAATGAAAATGTATAGATTCGTTTCAGGGTTGCATATCGATTGCGAAGCAGGTGTTGTGGTCGAAGGATTACCGGTACATGTGCGACGTGGCTGTGGAAGTTGGGTGTGAGACGTGCATTATGTTGTTTGCAATCTGTGGACCAAGTTTCAAAGTGTGTAAACTCCATTGAAGCCGGAGGTCCAGAATTCGTATGTGAACTGTACCTAACTGTACAGTGGGGTATAAGATGGTACAGATGGGTACCTATTTGAGGCATTCAAAGATTTGTACATAACATACAATAAAATTGGCATTTTTCATCTTGCAAAATTAACACTCAATTTTTAGCCAATCCCACTCAAGCATACCAAATTTCAATTTCAAGAAAGTAACATTCTATTTTCGGTGAATTTTTAAAGTCAATTTTCATGAATTTGCATTATATTTTATTAAAATCAATTGATGATGAATTTTTTTAATTTGATTGCAAAGATATGTAGGGAACATTTATACGCACCATCTTTTGTATTAAAATACACTTATTAAGTAACAAAAATTCTCTCTATAAAGAACTCAATGCAAAGGTGTCAAATGACCAAAATCTAATTACAAGGTATTGCATTGAATTTTTTGCCAAAATCTACAGTTTGGTCATTTGACACCTTTGCATTGAGTTCTTTATAGAGGGAATTTTTGTTACTTAATGAGTGTATTTCAATACAAAAGATGGTGCGTATAAATGTTCCCTACATGTCTTTGCAATCAAATTAAAAAAATTCATCACCGATTGATTACAATAAAATATAATGCAAAATCATGAAAATTGACTTTAAAAATTCACCAAAAATAAAGTTTTCCTTTTTTGAAAATTTAGTGTGCTTGAGTAGGATTGGCTAAGAATTGAGTGTTAATTTTGCATGATGAAAAATGCCAATTTTATTGTATGTTATGTACAGTGCCATGACGTAAAGATAGTCGCCATTTTCACAGAACGGTTTCTCGTACATGACAATTATCCATGAAGTTGAATTTCGTTGAATTTATAATTTCCAGCACATTGTTATATGATGGTGATAAATATTACCAAATTGTCGTTTAAAAAATAAAATCTCTATTTATGGTGATTTAAAAAAAAAATTCACCGTTTTCCTCAATAATTGATAAAAACTCAGTGGTGATGGATTTATAAGATAATAAAAAGGGATTTGTAGAGAATATCAATGCGCAAGTTTGTCATTTGGAAAAAATATGAAAAAAGTTGCGGTTTTTGAGTAGGACGAAATTCCATTTTCAATGCTCCAGACTAAAAATCTCGTAATTGCATCTCATCCAAATTAGAACCATGTATTCAAAAATAGGTCTTTCATTACCAAATTTTGGGCACTACGAACTTCTATAATAAACTATAGAGATCAAATTTGATATACGAATCATTTCTATATAAAAAAAAAAGAAGCATTTGTACATGAAGAGAGAGAGTTCCCCCAAGCTATTAATTGAAGCTCATTGGTAATTCCCAGTGTCAAGCATTGCACGTCCTAGGCCCATCCAGGGTGCCTTTTTGAAGCACAAAAATGGCAGCTAAATTTAAACTCAGCAAAATGATATTTATTTCTGCTAAAGCTGCTCCAGAAGGTCTAAGAAGTTAATTCCAAGAGAGTGAAACTATGTGCACAGACCTGAAAAAGCTGGGCAGAGCGCAGCATTTGTGCAGGATTCAGCTGTTGGCACTAGAGAAGTGTAGTGGCATGAGCAGTTGTATTCAACCCAGCATGTTTGAGTCTGCCCTAAGCTCCCTCATGGCAACGTCTGGTCGTCTGATTCTGCAAGCGACATTTCAAGACTGCCAACAAGATCACCCGATCCACAAACCACTCGACTGATCCAGTAGGGTGATCCACAATCACCCCTTCATCCAATGCCACGTAACGTGAAAAAACAATTCACTGATCTCCGCTTCCACTCCACGATTCAAAGCATCTCGTCACAACCCAATTTAGGGCTAAATCCATTCAAAAATTACCTATTCAAAACACCTAAAACTCAAATTTTGCAGGAACACAAATCCAGCCCAGACGCTCAAACCTTGACAATTTCACAAACTTACCAGTCAAGATCACAATTTTGGTGGTGATGGTGATGGTGGTGGATCATACAACACCAGCAAGGACAATACATGAGCTGGACTCTGGGCTGCACATGACTATCCGAACTGCATATGGCTCTGTGAACTATATATGACTCTGAACTAGAGCCATTTGCTGATCAAGCACTGATCGGCTTCTTCTCTGAGGCTACCCGTTGCAGCAGTGAATATCCTTCTTGAAAATCATTGTCGAATTCTCCCGTCATTCTCTTGAACATGAAGCGAGTATTCATATCATAGAAGGTTTCATAATCCATACCAAAATACTTGGGCTGCCAGGAAAGCATTTTTTGCTTCCTTTTCTGATTAGCCTCAGCTGAATATTCCTTCTTCATAATGGTCACTGGCTTTAGTAGAGGCAAGGAAGCCAATGTGTACAAATCTTCGTATCGGAGTATCCATTCCACTGCAGAGTGGGAGAAATCAAGCAGTTCAAGCTTACGGGATTTGCTCAAGTCTGGCACATCCATTAATTTGCTGCAGTATGAAATATCAAGTTGTAGCAATGCAGGTAAAGGCCCCATTTCCTCCAGACTCTTCAGTTCAGTGCACCCTTGCAGATTGAGAATCTTCAGACTGGAAAAGTTCGATCGAACTCTGGGTTTCACCAGATGTAACGGAAGACCAACATTGCGTAGATAGAGTTCCTTTAAGTCCGGGACATCGCTAACACCCACATTAGATAGATGTAATTCCTTCAGGGCAGTCAGGTCACTTAACCCGAGACACATGGTTAAGTTTACACAATTGTAAACCTCTAGAGATGCCAAATTGCGACATCCTCCAACATGGAGAAGTTGCAATCTGGGTAGCTGCTCAAGCCTTTCCAAGCACCTCAGATTGCGGCAACCCTTGAGGATGATCTGTTCTAACTTGGGAAGGCTTCCAAGACCTGACAACCTTGTGAGACTGTCACCCAATACCTCCATCTTCTTCAGGTTGGTAAACCTATGGAAGTCAGGAAGTTCCGTGGAATCAACATGAAGAAGTTGAAGCTCCTGCAAGCCAATCAACTCACCGAGACCTTCTAGGCACCTCAAAGGTCCCGAGTGGTATGCAACAACCCTTAGAGATTGTAAATTAGACAAACGTGAGCTCAAACCCCTGACAGTGGGTGCTTTGCAAAAAGGGCCGGAGAAGTATATCTTTTGTATCAAACTTAGCTTGCTTAAATCTGGATATTCTGATCGACATTCCTCTACTGTGAGCTCGAGCAGATTGGTACAGTGGTCAAGGTTTGGTAGATTCCGAAGATCTTGCAAGTGTAGATACTTGAGTGAGACAGGTAGTTGATTCAGAGTTTCAATGTCTATTTCAACAGAAACCAGTCTCAAATAAGTCAAGTCTTTCAGCTCTTGCAGCCCAGGAAGTTGGGTGAGGCCTTCACAGCCATTAACATCCAAAGATTTTAGAAGCTTCAGCCATTTCAAGTCCAAGACTTCATCGCCGAGGTCGCACTCGAAAAGCTTCAAAACAACAACATTCGAGAAATACTTCCATTGAATTCCAGCAAAACTTCTCAAATCATAGCCCAGCTTTAAAGCAATCCTCGCCAACTCTTGACAGCAGTTTCCGGCTCTTTCTTTCCGAAGCTCAGTGATATTGTCTGTCACGTACAAACATTCTTGAGTATCAAGGTTCATTGCTTTCGCTTTCCATTTCGCAAACTCTCGGAATAAATCGTGCATGCGAATACTGCAAGAGCCATCACCCAAGTCCTCCAACATCCCTCTTGTGTTTAAAAGCTTCAACTGGTGCCAAAAACAAACAGCACAAGTCAACACATATAAACAGCACTTGCCACAGATTCATCTACTACCTGGTGACAGGAGTGTAAATAACTTATTGAAGCCATGACTTGCAACAGCGAAAGAACACAGTCAACACAGTTCTAACCATTATCAATCACAACAAATAGAAATTATAATCATTGCACAAAGTATCTACAAAAAGCCTTACCCGTGTGATAACCTGAGTCTCACTCAAGTTATGGACCATGCTTAGCCACGTGAAGATATCTTTCAGGTGTAAAGAAGGCTACATCCATAAATAGAAGCTGTTCGGCTCTACCCAAGCTGTAATAGCTTCTTTCAAAAATGCTGAAGACAGGGTGTGGCATTTCCCCGGATAGATTGAATTTAATGTCGGGTTCTTCTGCTAAGATCTCCTGCCATTTTGACGGGTCGACGCTTCGCAGTTGCCCACCCAAAACCAGTAGCGATAGTGGATGATAGTGATGATCAGCGTCATCACCCTTGCTATAAAGACATTCTTCAACACATTTTTGGACAATGTTGTCATGGTCCTTAATCCAAACAGAATCGTCACCAAGTCCCACACGCTTGAGAAACAGCCTCGTTGCCTCGTTTTTCTCAAGATCTGGCATCTCCATACAGTCTCTTTCATCAATCTGAAGGTGTGATGTAAGTATGCTGCGAGTACGTGCTGTCACGAGAACCACACTGTTCTCATGAAACCCAAAATCAAGGTATACACTTGCTTGCGTAGCTGTTTCAGGTGACACGTTATCTATAGCCAAAAATGTTTCTTTCCTCCTCACTTCCTTCTGCAGGTAATTTTGGCACTGCATTGCCCATATCCATATGTCAGAACGTGAGGGCAATAGAAGTGAGGGCAGTTAACCAACATGAGAATCCAGGCCCTAGAACCATCTTCAAACACTCAAGCTTGCATTTCTGCAGGACTTTGCAGTTACACAATCGGGTACACGTTTACCTTCTAGGAAATCAATAACCCACTTGTCTAGACTACGGCAAAGTACTCAAATGTTTACCACATGTATCTGAAGCATTATATACTTTATAACCACCCTCTCTTTGAGTCAAGTAACATTCAATATCCATTGTTCATTACCAACGAGACAAGGCAACTCCCAAAAACAAACTCCTACTTTGAACTAGTAGAGTAGGAACTACCTGGCCATGGTCCCAGTTCTCAAACCCCCGCCTAGAATCTGTCTCTGTAAGGCATCTTATGAGGAGCTGCAAAAACTTTTCATGTGTGTGGCTGCCAATTTCCATATGGCACACCTTGCCATGGAATTTCGTCTCTAGCTCATCGAGTAGTTCCTTACAGAAGGTTGTTTTGCCGATTCCGCCCGCACCATACAAGCCCACCACGCGGCCCCCATCTCTACGGGATGGACAGGTCTTCTCAACTTTTGCAAGTATTCTCTGTTGTTCACGACAGGCTGAACAGTTATCACCATTGCATAACAAATATCCAAACTATCAAATAACATCGCCGGCTAAGGCCAAGGCCTCCAAGTACCGAAGGCATTTCTAAGACACAAGAGAGTAGTAAACAATGACATTTTAGCGTCCTTCCTACCCGACAAATTCGCAACCTCCCTTGAACGTCTTTGCCCCACCTTACATCAGGCTGAACCAATTCGCACAAAGCTTCTGCAACTTTGTTTCGATACGATGAGTCTCCTTCTCCCTGCTCGACATATCCAATACCATTGAATTTTGGCAACTCCTCCAACGCATACTTCCATCTGTCAATCTTGATCCTTCCATCCGCTCGTGCCCAGCCTTCTCATAACGAGAACCACTTGTTCCGCCTTGTTGAATCCTTCAATTCAGTTAGAGATATCTTGAAAAAGAGAGGCAATATCTTCAACCCTTTGTTTACACCTAATTTCTGTTCCTCCATGAAAGCAACCAGCTCGAGCATAGGCCACTTTGACGTAAAAAATTCCTCAGACAAGACTGCTACTGCCACCTGACACTGTTTCGCAGCTCGAAAGATGGCATCTGGAAACCTCTCACCCAATGGTAAGCTGTCGATGCGTTGATCAAAGAATGGGAAGCGATTGACGTTCTCCAATTGAACACACAAATCCTCCACGAAGTTCTTCTGCGCCCCACTATGACTCAAGAATATCTTGTGCTTGCCTTGAAGCTCCGAGTTCCTGCAAACAGATCAAATGTAAGCGGTATTAGAATAAGCCTCTGAACTTAACGAAATTGTGATTCAATTGCAAATGGACAAAGCTAAACATTGGTTGAGGAGCAAACTAGAACAGTACTCACCCATAGCCTTCATCTGGATTCAACTGATTCCATCCGCTATCGCGATTAGGCCGTTCGGCTCTCACAGTGTCCGAAAACACATCTATAAGCTTGCGCCCTAAATCTTTGTTGTAAGCCATTACTTTCACGGCCCCGCTTTCTTGCCCTAGCGAGTTCGAACTACAACATGAGCCACAATCTCTGAAAAAACTTCCCTCAGTAGCATGCCTCCCACAACGTTGGCGGCAAAAGCAGACAAAGTGCAACGAGATAAAGCAGATCTGCTAAGTCTCTGCTACTCTGCATCACGGCTTTCCTCCTCTCTGCTTTTCTGCTTCTTACGCATCTCCACCCCTACCTCTTCCAAGAACCTCCCGGTCCAACTTGGAAGGCATGGCGTCGGGGACGCGGGGTGTGGGAGACGACAAGCGAAAAGAGTCGCCCGAGGCAGGGCTAAAATGTTTCTCTCGGACAGATCGCCGCGGGCTGACGAGCGACCTCTGTTCCCGATGAGTTGCACGTTTGGGAACGCCCCGAGAGGGGTATCTGGTCCGTCGGATCATTCTTCCTGTGATCGGCGGCGAGGGACTGCGGAACGGAACCTGGGAGCTTAGAAGAACCCTCGGGGTCAGGATGATGATTCGGAGTCTCGGAGAGCGACAAAGGTTTTTAGAGTGTGTTGGGAACTAAGTTGTCGATGTTGAATTGTATGCATGCGAGCAAGGAATTAAATTGCTTGTACAGTATCGCCCTCTACCGTCATGGGATTACTGCGCAGAGGGTGGGTGGCACTTTAGGTGGGACAGCATAGACTCTTAGGTTGCAGGGTTTTGAACTATCTCTTATTCTTGGAGAGTAACGAAATAGGATTTTACGAATTCACGAGGTTTTGTCCTTTGTCTCTTGATTTTGCTTATAAGCATCCCTAGGGATAAGCAGGGAGCCATCTGCGCTGTATACCAAACAGATGCAGATGCAGGGGAGATTCACAGCCTCCAAATCGATCGGAATGAACCTCCTGAAGCTGACATTAGCCTGGCAGACTAGAGACACAGGGAGACATGCGACCTCGATTGCACAAGTGTTCGCAAGGTAGTGCAGTCAAGTTCGAATATTCCAACTCACTAAAGATCTAGTCCTGACCAAGTATCGGAGGTGCTTGGTGCCTGAGTGGTTTTTCTATTAATAAGGATTCCTTCCACTTCGGCTTCAACTCCCATTGAGCTACAACAATTTCTGTCCTTGCTCGCCGTGTTGGACAGTGCGTTGCGTTTAGCGTGCACGCAGTGAAGTATTCTCTGTAAGTATTGTGGAATGTTTCTGTGCTCACATGTTGGGGGGATATCAGTTGTTTCTCATGACACTTGAACCTCTGTGCCGGGACTCGCATGCGGTACTCACTATGCTTATTTGATGATCCATTCTGAGCGGAGTGTTGTGATGCTGGAGGCTTCATGGGTTGAATTTGACCATACGAGCATGTTGTTTCCCTCTCTTCAGACAGCAGCCGAGGAGACCAGTTAGTATTGGGTGAGAGGATTCTTTCAAGCTCCAGGATAATACCGATTGGGTTCCAGTTGTGTCACCTGCTTTTGTCTTAGAAGTGCTCCACATGTAAGCTTACGATGTGCCATGGTGAAGTTGATTGCTTTCATGGAAGCGCTGTTGCCAAACTTTTTCCGAGTCACTTAATGTCAAACTTATTTTCACTCTACAAGTAGCCGTTAGAGAATTTGTATTATTTCCTTAGATTAGGGTACCCAGGTGTACGACCAGTTTGGTGAGTGCTTTGAATTCCCGTTAGCAATTTGTCTGGAGGACTGTCGCTTGGGATGGCGTTCGAGGAATCTGTACCCGAGACGGGATCTTGGGATTTCAGGGAAATTTGGTTGAGGGATGAGTCCGACGATCCAAAGAGCAGAACCTACTGTGTAGACTATCATGTAGGTTGCATGGAACAACCATCTATAGTACGACTGGTGGAGCGTGTAAATCAGATGCATCCCAGCCTGGATACCGAGTGTGCCGAACTGCAAACTCATGCTGCGAACGCCCTTAAAGCAGAGGTGGAAAGAGATTGGGAATCCTCGTTCCAAGAGTACACAAAATTTATAGAAGTTCTTGGCAGAGTCGGGTATGATGAGTTTGGGACAAAGTCGTTTCGCCTTTATGCGGATTACGTGTGGGTAGAAGCCTGGGCAGCCATACCGTTGGCTTTGCACAATCAAATCAGGCTCGGAAATTACGACTTGGCTGTAAAAGTTTTTGGACATCTACGAGCATCGCGGAACGATGTGATGAGTGAACGACTCCCAATGAATGCTTATGCAAGCATAGACCAACACATCAGAGTTATTGATTGGGAGACGAGCTACATGCTCAAAGGACGCGGCCAAGAGGGGCTGGCGCAGATTCTCGCGGAGCGTGCTGTTCGGGACTTTCGGCCCCGCTGGTATCTACATGATGAAATTCCTGCGGAGGCAACTTTGTGTCACCTGCTTGGCAACCAACACCGCAAGTTTGGGCAGTACGAAACGGCAATGAAATGGCGATCCGAACTGCGAAAATGGGTGGAGTGCAATGAGTTATCGGTGGATGCTGAAGTGGAAATTACATTAAGCGATGCTTTTCTGCTATGCGACATGGATGATTTCTCGGCCGCTTCCCACGAGCTCCTCAAGTTGAAGCAGAGGATCAGTGATGCGGACATGGACAACGTGCACCTGAGAAGAGTGTTGCATGTGGATAACGCCTGGTGGCAGTGCCGGAGGCACCTGGCTCTCCAGCAGGGTCTCCAGGATTCCGAGCCGCCCGCGCATTCGGGTAGGTTCAATAAGGCAGATTATGTAACGACTGCAATCTCACTCTGCAGTGCAACGTATGCGCGAAGTAATGGATTTAAATTCACGAGGTTTATGCAGGTGGTGTCGAAGTGTATGAGCTGCATAGATGATTTCCCAGATTCTGTCCGTATGATTGAAAACATATTTACTGTTACAAGCAAGGCGAGCTCCACTTCGAGTTCACAGGTACATATAACAGATTTTTACTTCGACATCCCAACTGGTCAAACAAGAATTGGTGACACATTACTTCATGAAGCGTTTGCCCATGTGCAAACAATATTTAATGGCACACTCGTTGATGCAGCTTCAGCCCGTGTGCTGCCAGAGGATTTTGGTATACAGCTAGAAAATTCTGGTATACAGCTAGAAAAATTACGGCAATCTGCAACTATGGGACTCCGAGCGGAGTCATATAATGTTTGGCATCTAGCTTTTTTCTTTTATCGAAATTTTCTAGAAGCACTTGTCTCTCGCTGTGACTTGCCTCCGCCTGGCAGCTATTTGCGGCATGCCTATCAAACACTATTTATATGGGCTGCACTCCCTTACGCACTGATCTACCACACACAGCTCAAGGACTACGAGCATTCTATCTGGTGAGTACTGTTTTCTCGCTTGCGCAGGTCATTCTTTACTTGTTCCTTGTCAAGCATTGCAGTGTTGTCCATGGCAGCACTTGTTTTATGTCAATCAATTTCCCTGTTATAGCGTCACTATTAAGTAGGTTGTTGGCAGTCTTCCCAAACATGGTTTAGTGGTCAATTGTCGACAAAAGGGAAGAAATGCCTTGAGCTACCAAGACAGGCTGTCGATTTTTAGTACCATTTAGTGATCAAGAATTTTGTTGTACCTCGCAACGCCTTATGCAATCTTTGTGTTTTGACATACCTTCTGATGACTGGTTTAAACTTTGATTTCCGTAGGTTATTGCGAATCATTCAACTGGTTATGGATGGTATTGTCTCTGGCCCTTGGCTCGGGGGTTTTGTTCCTGGCGTTACAAAGGCAGCCTATGTAGCCGTGGAGTTGCAGGTGAGGATGGCTGCGTGGGAATGGAGTTGCGCCCTTATTGAGGAGGGGATGGTGGATAAGTCGGATATGCTTGGGAAGATGGCAACAAGAAACTTCCCAAATCAGTTTCTGGTTCTACCACCTGAATTAGGCATGGATGACGAGGACCGTGCCGAGGTTTCGTTGTGTGAATTATTGCACAATTTATATTACGATGTAGGGGACTGTGAGGAAGCCGGAGCTTGGGAAGCCAAGATTTCTGACTACATGTATCGGTTTCTTGGTATGCCGATGTCCGAACCTCATTGGCAAAGAGTTGCTGGTCGCGTGCTCCTTATCGACCCAGACACACCAGCATATCCTCGAATCACTCATGTTCCAACATGTATCAGATTTGCGAATCCTCCTCCCCGCTCAAGCGGGTCGTCAACACCAGAACGGATGTTCAACGCCAATCCAAACAACAGTCTTATATTTTGACGCCTCTGTACAATGGCTACCAACTTGCATGGATACTGCAGTTGTCTCAAAAGAAAGACTTGTTTATGTGATCATCCTTGGAAAGCGAAGGAAAAAGTCGGACTACGAGTACCATCACGGTGGTATCGAATTTGCATCCGCATGTCCTGCCCATCTGTTCTCACTGGCGCAGCCTGTCAACTTGACGAGTCGTTCCAGTGCTAGTACGTGAAATTTGATACTATTACACGATGTACTGGATCAACCATAGCAGTCTAATAGCAATTCATTGATCATGTGGTGATTGCACCTTTGACAACGTGGCCCCGCACTTGATCGCCGTCGCCGACAGCCTGAAGTTCGCCTGGCGACCCCTATTCATTACTGCATGTTCAATCGATTAAGAATCGACCAAGAGATCAAAGTACTACGATCAACTTCTTTGGAAGCTGTTTGCGTATAACTTCTAGCACTTGAGGTCGTACTTGACATCAAGTCAAGCACGGGATTTACAAGAAGCATTCGTTACACTTCCATCTCTTCTTTCGGAAAGAATCGCCTTGTAGTTAAGTCCCAAACTCTATTCAAATGAGTCTTGTCTTTTCTCTGCTCTGTCACCAGTGTAGAATCTAGATGAGATTGTGTGATAGCATGCTTATCGAAGGCGTCGGATGAGAGCTCAGACGGGCCGGAGTGTATCATGTTGGACAGTAGTCATTTGTATTGTATGCTTAAAGTAATTCAATGTGTATATCATATTGGATGAAAGCACGATGTGGGTACTAAAAAGTCATGACTTCTACAGAATGACTACATGTAATTCAATTTATGTATACTTCACATTTCGCCTTTAATACCATGTATGCAACTTCAGCCATGTTGTATGTATTAAGAGTATCATCTCATTTTTGTAATTTTCTAATATTGGTTCTGTACAAAACAAGGATTTTTTTTAGATCCCACCATTTTAACAGGGGTAACCATATCGTGCTTTCATCCCATTGGTTCACGAATGCTTTTTGATAAACAAGGTCATCATTAAAATCAATATGATTGTTCTATATATCTAGCCAATACATTGCTTTTTATTTGATACATTGATATTTTAGAATAAAGATGTATATCCTACAACCATATTGTACTTTTATGACACAATGGGTGTTTCTTATACATTTTTAAAATATAAAATTAATGTCCTATAAATTATAATTTTAAAATATCAATTCCTATCTAAATATCTATTAATCTATTTAACCCCTAAATTTCTTTGAGAATTTCTTACAAAGAAACACCTCAAAACTGCATATTCTAGTGCAAAGAGAGGGGAAGGAAAAGAACAACTTCAATTTCTATTTTTAACCATAATATCTTAAATTGGAGTATTAATTTACAAGAACATGTAGTCTTTTTTTTCAAATTTTTCACCGTAAGCATTAAAAGATCATAGTGTTTCAAGTGAAAAACATAGTGATTTTTGGACCATATGAAACATGATTAGCACACTTTGTTTCCTCTTAAAAAAATATCTCTTGCATCTTTTCTTTTGAGGAGATTATTAGCATATAAAAATTTAGACCATATAAGCTATGATTTTTCCAAATTTCAAATGAAACAAAAGTGTGTAACATTCTCAAAATAGACTTGCAAGTAGAAGGGGTTCAAAACTTGCTAATTTGAATTTTGTTTTTTGAGAATTAAGGATCTTAACCCCTAAATTTCCAAGAGTCCCCTCAGGAGACTCTTCAAGGTTTGGGTAGGTTCCTATGGTGTCAATTTATGACAGTTTTTTCTGAATTTTACTCTAGATGGACATTACAACAAGCTTTGTGTGAGTCTAAATTTTTTCCTGAATCCGACATTTAATGAAAAAGTTATAGGTTATGAAGTTCAAATGGGGAGAGTGAGCACATAGGGCACCTACAAAAACTTTTGATATGACACTCTTTCAAATGTGAGATTTTCAAAACAAGCAAATAATATTATTTCCTTTCATATTGTCAAAAAAATCTCTTGTCTTTAGTGAAATATAGCATATTAATTCAAGTCAAATATTTTCACACATTGTCATACATTGCCGGGCAAGGTACCAAAAAATCTTCTTCTTTTCCACATAAAACTTAGAGATCTTCATATTGTTTACTTTTTATTTTTTTCACTGCTTTTGTGGTATAAGGCCTCCTATTGACCATTCGGATTTTCGACAAGCAGCAGTGAAACCGAGATTCAGATACACGAAATTCAAATTCTGAGAAGAGGACTTAGTGACTGAAATAAGGAGAATGTAGCGGATGCTGAACGAGCGTCAACAGAAAATAGGTGCGAGATCGTACTTATATCCAAAGCAGGCCAATCGGTACACAAAGTCACGGATTCCGCTACTCTCGTGCCCGTACACATCCGACAGGAGAAGCACGCCGGCGCCGTTGTTGTTCTTGAGCGCCTGAATGTAGTAGCCGGAGAATCCTTCCTCCTCATCGCCGAGCTCCACATCTAAGTCATTCACCAGCTCGCAGACCTCATCGTCGTCCACTGCCGCTCCCTGCTCGATCGCTTCCTCAGCCTGTGCATGCGTCTGAACTCTCCGCGCGTAGCAAACTCTCGGCGCATAGGAACACTGAATCTCACGCGCTGCAATCACAACAAAATTATTAAAAAACACCAAAAAAATACCACAAAATCCGTAGAAAAAGCACCAAAAAATACAGAAAAATTACAAAATGATGAATCGTTTCGATGATCATTTCCACAGTGTTTGCGACTTACCAAATAGTTGTGAACGAGCTCCCAGAGCACAGTTCCGAGACCGGAATTCTCCCCGCAGCGCCACACTCCAACGCACTGCCGCGGAATGGCTGGGCGCGAGGAGGAAAGAAGCGGAAGCGAATGAGACGGCCATCGCCATGGTCTGAGAGATTTACCGGAAGGCGAAGCTCGAGTTGTGGCGATGGCGGAGCTTCTTTCTCTGCACAAACAACGCCTTCACACAAATGAGAAGGATCCCAAAACCGTTACTGAGAAATCTACGTCAGTATTCTACGTATTTCAACCAATTATACGGTTCACATTGATTGAAATGACCTCCAAATGAAAGTATCTTCAATCCAAACGGTCTAAGGTGCTTGGTACACTTTAATACAATTTCTGTATTATATAGTACTGTTTGATGTATAAGGGTTAAGCGCAAAAAGGTTAAAAGATTTCCACCAATGTATGGTGTGGTATTTCAATCAATGACAAGATTCACATTGATTGAAATGACCTACAAATGAAAGATGTTCATTGAACAATCTTCAATCCAAAATGGTCTAAGGTGCTTGCTATACTTTTATACTTTTTCCATATCCTATAGAATAACATACGTGCATGTATATATGGTTCCTGACTGTACATAGTTGGGAGCCGTATTTATGGGTACGTGTTTCACTCTTTGGAATACGGAAAATATATTAAAGTATAGCAAGCACCTTAGACCGTTTGGATTGAAAATTGTTTTACAAACATCTTTCATTTGGAGGCCATTTCAATCAACGTGAGCTTTATCATTGGTTGAAATACAACAGCAGACATTAGTGGAAATCTTTGGCCTTGTGACGTTTAAGGGTTAAAGGGTCGGGTGACGGTTTTCGATGGTGGCGAGGAGAGGAAGATGGTTACAGGTGGAATTGGGCTGTGGAGTTTGAGATGGAGGACGGTTCCGGCAGGAGGTGTGGAGAGAGGACGATTCCGGGTGGAATTGGTTGCATCGGGTGGAGATATTTGTTGGAATGGGCGTGGGTGATTGGATAGGGTTGAGGTGGAGGGTGGCTGGGTTGGATTTTCAACGGATTTAACTCTGACCTTCACGACATTGTAGAGTTACTTGATTGCCTTGAAGAATAGACAACTGCCCTACCTTTGTTTTTCTTCAAAATATAGCAAAGAACTCTCCTACCTGATGAGTCCCCAGTTTGAGATTTATACCAAAAAATGTTAGAGTAATGGGAATACAACCGCACCTAAGGTATATCCCTTAACACTGCCACCCTATATTTGGTCTCAATTCCACCTCATTATCACCTTATTCTTTCCTTGTCATTTACAAATTAAGGTTTATTATCGGTCAAGATCCTTGACTTTTGGCCAACGCAAATGAAGGGTATCTAATGGTAGATATAGACTAAAGTGGCAACACAATTTGAAAATTCATAATTAAGGGGGAGCTTCACACATTGGCCAAGTCAAGTTTTGACCCAAACAATGGCAAGAGGCCAAAATTTTTTATTGGAAAAATATGAAATCACTTAGAAAGTGTTGATAATAATGATAAAAGAGGAGTAACACTAGTATTGGATTTAGTGCTTTTAGACACTTTCCCTATACTTCACCAAGAAAGTGTTGAATTTTTCCATAGTGAATCTATCGGATGCATTGGCTTTTATTGTGAATCAACTCTAATTCATTGGAAAAATATGAAATCACTTAGGTTAAGATTAAAGCTGTATTTTCTTTCTCTAAAAAATTTATTAAACAACTTCAAAGTTTCCAATTTTCCTTTTTAAAATTAGATGTTGAAATGATCTTCAAATGAAAGATGTTGATTGATGAATCTTTGATCAAGAGGTGTATATGTTGCTAAATTTTAGTCCTATCTTTATGTATAAAGAGTGAAACACTTGACTATATATATATTGAGTTCATCATAGTGGTGAATGTGGCAGGTGCATTGCACAACCCAAAAGGCATGACCACGAACTCATATGATCCATACCTTGTCCTACAAGCTATTTTCTCAACATCCTCCTGTGCCACTCTTATTTGGTAGTACCCCGACTTAAGGTCTATCCTTGTAAAGAGCTTGGCTACTGTCAATCTATCTATCAAGTCATCTGCCCTTGGCAGAGGATAGTTGTTTTTCATAGTAATTTTGTTGAGAGCTCTGTAGTCTACACACATTCAAAACTTACTATCCTTTTTACTTACAAATTGTCACGGACATACATAAATACCTTAGTAATTACATATAGAAATAGTTATAAGTTAGTAAAAGTAAGTTATTTCTATGATATCTTTTAGAGAAGCTTCCTAGAAGTTACTTAGACGCTGCTTAGACTTCATAGACATCCTTTGTTGACTCTTAGACGCTGCTTTGACTTCATAGACATCCTTTGTTGACTCTTAGACGCTGCTTTGACTTTATAGGTGTTTTTTTTGACTTTTAGGTTGGAAACTTAATCAACAAGTGTTAAGGATCAGACTCTTGATCTAAGCTCAAGAGTAAGAAATAGGAATAATTTGGCATTAGAACAAGAATAAGATACAAGAAGATCTTAATTAAACCACAAGAGATGAGTTGTCGAGACTGAGGATCCCCTCAGTTTCAACTCCTTTATATACTAAGTCCTCGAAAGCTTCTTAAGAGATTTCCATGAAGCTTGAAGATAAGGTAGGCCTAAAATCCTTCTTTGGTAACTTCCTAAACCATCTAAGGTCTCTTTAGCATCTTTTAGAACCTTAAGGAATCTTTTGGAACTTTCAAGAACCTTTTAGAACCTTTAGGAATCTTATAGAATATTCTAGAATCTTCTAGAATCTTCAAGAACCTTCTAGAACCTTCTAGATCTTTCCAAAATCTTCTAGAACCTTCTTACTTGTATGTCCGTGACATCACTTCCTCTTCTAGCTTCGAGATCTCCGAGAAGCATATTGCTGCAAGTTAGTATATACGCAAGAAGTTGAAGATGTGTTGTATCGTACCTGTTACATATTCCAGTTATTTTTTGCGAGGCAAATGCTTCATTGGTTCTTGTAACCATCGATAATGTCCCACGCCTTGAACTTCCGACCAAGCATGAACTTCAGTGTCTTTATTGTGGAATTGTCCTGAAACACTCCTTCCGGATGGCCATCATATGCAAGCTCTACCTCAAACACAATCACCAATGACTTGCTACTAAGTATCTTCCATCGTCTTCGTGGACCAGGCGGTTCTTCATCTCGGGGTCGTCTATATGAGCTACTTGGTTGAGATGACATAACTGGTATGGTATCGTTCTCTTGACCATCCATATGAACTTGTCTATACAGAACGTATCAACTCAAAAACAGGATGGACTGGATTCTCACATTGCTATCCTTTATATGATTTCTTCCTTTCTTTCTTAAAGGAAGCTTGAACTAGAAGTTTTGCAAGATGGTGTCATTACCTAACACATGGTATTGCTTTTGGTTTGGAAGGATGTCATTGATGAAAATCTTGTACCTTTTGAGGCGCATTGATTAAGTTTGATGCTGGCTCCCATGTGCGTTTGCTGATTGGATAGCCATGCCAATGCACAAAGTACTCCAGCTGTCCTCGCCTTCGCCTTAAATTAAATACCTCTTCCACCTCATATTCTTCATGACCTTCAATTTCTACACAAGGTGGTGGTTCTTGTATTCTTCCTGGAATAGTTGATTCTTTGTATGATTCTAACAAAGACACGTGGAAGATTGGATGTACCTTCACAGCAGCTGGTAAGTCCAAACGGTATGCCACTGGAGTAATCTGCTTCTGGATGACAAATGGTCCCAATCTATGATAGTCTAATTTATCACATGGTCGCTTGGTCTTGATATTTCGACGAAGCAACCATACTTTATCTCCAATCTTGAAAGTAGGTGTCTCGTTCCGAAACTTATCTATGGTCGCCTTGTAAGACTCTTGGGTAGTCTGCAATTGAAGTTACAATATAGCTTGAAGTTCCAATAGGTGCTTCGTAAAACCTTCAGCTGCCGGATTGTTATTCATTGACGGACTAGATAAATCGAGCTTTGGATGGTACCCATAATTAGAAAAGAACGGTGTTTGTTGAGTCGACACATGAAGGGTGTTATTATAAGAAAATTTGGCAAGCAATAGATATTCAGTCCAATTGTCTTGCTGATAGTTGATGCTGCATCATAAGTATTGCTCCAATACTTGGTTTATCCGTTTTGTCTGATTATCAATTTGAGGGTGAAAAGCCGAAGAAAGCTTGATATCGACCTTCAATATTCTAAAAAGAGATCTCCAAAATTTGGATACAAATTGAGTCCCTCGATCTGACACAATATCATTTGGTAGGCTATGATAACGATATACATTATCAAGAAAGAGCCTTGCTGTATCTTCGCTTGATAATGCCTTCTTGCAAGGAACAAAGTGCGCCATCTTCGTAAGCCAATCTACCACCACAAAAATGCTATCAAACAAATTTGAAGGTAGCAGGTCCATAATAAAGTCCATGGAAACTGAAGACCATGGTCAGCGCGGAATAGGCAATGGCTATAAAAGCCCACAAGGGTGATGCCGAGGGTTCTTGAATCTTGAACAAATGTCGCAAGAGAGGATAAAATCCTTCACATCCTTTCACATTTGAGACCACCAAAAATCTTGCAAAATTAGCTCCAAGGTCTTGTTAAATCTGAAATGTCTAGTAGCTAGAAAATCGTGACAAGATTAGAGAACTTGAAGTCGTACTAGTGCCTTTGGGATGTACAGCTGCTCCTCAAAATAAAGAAGATCTCCATCCACCTTGAACTTGTCATTATTGACACGTTGTTTGATGTCAAGAGCTACTGAATCCTGAATAGTCGCAGCACGTACATAATCGAGGAAGTCGACATTAATCGGGATGACAGCTGCATAAATCTTAAATTACTCTGGTTTTAATAATGTCGTACATTCTTGATCAAACGCTGCTTCTCCAGCCTTTGGCGCAAGATATGATCTCCTTGATAATGCATCTGATAGTCCTTGCTGCTTCTCAAGTTGATATGTGATAACAAAGTCAAATCATGATAGCGACATATTCCATCGAGCTTGACGACGGTTTAGAACTCGAGCTGACATAAAGTACTCTAAATTCTTGTGATCCATATATACAATCACCGGATGCGCATCGCCTTCAAGAAAATGATGCCATTCTTGGAAAGAATCTACTATTGCAAAGAATTCTTTGTCATGGATTTCATAGTTGATTTTCGTAGCAGAGAACTTCCGAGAATAGAACG